TGGGGCATGCCTTTGAAGGGCAGATCATGTCCCTGGCCCCTTTCTGTCTAACTCTCCTGCTCCCTTTATGCTTCCTGGCTGCCAGGAGTTGAACAGCTTCCCTCTGCCAGGTCCTTCCACCATGATGACTCTGCCTTGACAGCTGTCAACCGTGGTCTGACACTTCTGAAGGTGTGAGCCAAAGTAAACATCTCCACCTATAAGTTGAGTATGTCAGGTATTAGGTCACAGCAACAAATAGCTGACCAAGGCAGCATCACTTCTGTATGATAGCCTCAAATGCATTACCTATAAACAAGAGGTTGAACTTCACCTCTGCTTCCTAAAATTATTTCCTGAAATGTCCTAAAGCAGAGAGAACATCTATACTCACAAAATTCACACTGATTTTGTATCTGTATGTGTGGCACAGCCACTGTGAGTACATTTTGTTTTCTTGTTAAATTAGCAATGAGTTATGAAAATCATGCCCCAAAAAGCTGAACTGTGCTCATCCCGAGAACCCAGATGTTTCTTGGTGACTGCTTCAGGTTCTGTCCTTGCGATCCTCCAGTGTGGGTCTGAATGCTATGAAATGCCTCCTGTAATTGAAGTGGACGTGGGTAGGAAGGACACTGAATGGGCTATTTGGAACTCTGTGACTCAGACGGCACAATTCATCTCTTTCAGCGGCACAGATGCTTGTCCAGCCCCTGGCTGCACGTCATCCAGCTGTGACTAATGGGCATGACTCGTCCACAAGCATCATTCAGCTTCGCATCCGCTCTCCATTTAGACTTGTCCCTAAGATTTCGAGTAAGCCCTCTCTTTTTATATGCAAACAAGAGCCTATTTTTGAGAAGCCCTTCAAAAAAGAGAAATAGAAAATGGCTTGAAATGGAAAACAACTTAAGACCCAGGACCACGCTCTTCTGCAGAGATGGGGCACGAATAGATCTGAGAGTGGGAACAAAGTGGCAGAGGCAGACTCGTGACCAGGGTGTCCTCTAAAGCATCGGTGTGATTGTGACAGCAAACAAATTTACTGGAAATTTACTGTCATGGTTTGAATGTAGCTTGAGTGTGTCCACAGGCTGTGTGTACTGTGAGGGATAGTAAGAGGGTGGAAACATAATTTAGCTGTGGTGTTTAGAAGTAGGACACTGGGTGGTGATTAGGATTAGTCAAGATCATCATGATAGAGCCCTGCTGTTGAAAGCTGCGGCAACAGAGGCAAAGAGAGCCCAGAGGACGCAGACACTCATGTAAGCTCCGACTCTCACTATGTGATGTTCTGTGCCGTCTTAAGGTTCTACCAACAAGAGGACCACCTTGACCTTGGACCAAAATCCTGAGCCAAATAAATCTCTTATCTTTATACATTTAGCCAGATTTAGTTACTTCATTACAGTAATGAAAAATAGACTAATACCACAAGCAACACAAGGAGTGAGACAGGGAAAAACCCAGCTCGCTTTCTCCCCATCTGCACTCTCCCTTGGAGTAAATCATTTGCCAAACTCTTAACCAGTTCATCACCAATATCAACAGACCTTCCAGTGAGCCCAGAGAACCCTTATAGTATCTGGCTCAGATACTATAAAAACCTCCCAGAGAATTCCTGAAATGAACATTTGTGGTGAGTGACTATAAAAATCATGAGACCTAGATAAAGCCCACTAAGCTTATCTGTAAAACTGAGAAAATACAACACTTCCCAGGGTCCTTGTGAAGATTAAATCAGGGGTTAACAAACTATGGCCTGATGGCTGAAGTCTGCTGAGGTCTGCTTTTGTATGTCCACCAGATAAAAATGGATTTCACATTTCCAAATACTTATACAGAACAAAAAGTAAACTAAAAAGAAAAACAGAACAAGAATATGCAACAGACCACACAGCAGTCCTCGAAACTTAAAATATTTGCTAGTTGCTCTTCGCAGAAAAAAGTTGTAAGTTTTAGGATTAAAGGAAGAAATATTCTTGAACATAACCGGCACACTGAGCTTAGCGCACAGGGAACACAGAAAAAGGAGAGTTTCACTCCCCAAACAGGGAAATTTCTGGGAGCAATTTAGTTGCATGAAAGGGTATAAATGAATTCAGTAGGTGGGACAAAATTTGTAAGATTTGTAGACTGTATAAATATTATTATTTGGCTTTTCCTCCTGATTAGTGTGCTAGGGCTGCCATGACCTGCTTGGTGGCTTAGATAACAAAAATGTATTTTCTCATAGTTCTGGAGTCTAGAAGTCTGAGATCAAGGGATTGGCAGAGATGGTTCCTCCTGAGGCCTCTACCCTGGGCTGGCAGATGGCTGCTTTCTCCCTGTCCTCCCGCGGCCTTTCTTCTCTCTGGTGTCCTTTTGACTCTTCTTATATGCATACTGGTCAGATTAGATTAGGTTCCACCCTAACGGCCTCATTTTACCTTGTGTCTTTAAATGTCCTATCTTCAAATATGGTCACATTCTCAGGTACTGGGGCTATGGCTTCAACATAGAAATTTGGGGAAGACACAATTTAGCTAAAATGCTCCCTGCAAGCTAAATAAGACATTAAAATTTACCAATTCTAATGTCTTTATTTAGAAAAAATAACCCTTAGGCACAAAGAAGTGCTATAATTGTGCAACAGTGAGGCAAGACCAGTCCTATTTTAGGGAATTTTTAAGTGGCAGGCGTCTGGACCTTTCCCAAGGTGGCGCAAGTATTAACTGCACCCCACAGTGGCATATGCCCCCTACCATTTCCCAGCTTTGTGCTCACAGGCAAGGCCGCAATACTTGAATGAGCCAGTGAGCTGTGAGAGGAAGCAATGCCCTCCTCAAAGAGCTCTCAGAGCTGGTGGAAGTCTCTCCTTGAAGCTTCACGTTAAGTTGATGGAGCCACAGGCCAGAAGCAGCCTGGATCCCCGAGTTACGGAGTTAACAAGCCTTAGAAAACCATGTAGGAAACAAATCTTTCTTGGCAAGTTCACAATTTGTTGACTGTGTTGTGAAAGCAAAGTCTGATCTGTCCAGTGCACTGGTTGCCAATGAAAGGGATCGTGGCTTAAACGTGCCATGAAGGCACTGTCCAGTTTCAGAGAAGCCCTGTTTCCTATATAGGACTACAACAGCCCTTTTCCAGGTGGCTGTGATCACAGGTCTAGAGAGTATACATTTTTGTTATAGTACAGAGCTTAAATATAAGTCAAAGCCTCTGCTTTTCCAGATGAGAAGGGAATACAAGTAGCTTGGGTCCTTAAGTCAGAAGCATTTGATTTTTTACCTGTGAATAATTGTTTCACGGCCCTGCCTTCTCCACAATGCACCATCTTTTCATTGTAAACCACGGGATTCCAGGGGATCCCCGAGTTTGCCTAACATCCGGCCATTTTATGTGCCCGGATGTGGTTGCCGGAAATGCCCCATTACCTGCGCGCCAGCTCAGGCATGCATACCTGAGGAAAGGGGCTGCCAAGCCTGAGATGCTTCTGTCTTTTCTGTCAAAGTCCACTGCCCGCCCCACCCCCATTCCTCCATGCTCACAAACGGCAAATCCTAGACCTCACTGTGTGCTATGAAAACACATCTACAGAGAAGAAGTACAAATATGTACCCCATTTGTCTTTGGAACCAGATGTCTGAAAAGCTCCCTTGACAAAGAAGAAAAAAAAACTGCCACAAATAATACACTCATTTAGTACTCAGGAAACACGCTCCTTTCATTGAAAAGTGATGACATTAAATTGAACCAGCTCCCAGTGTTGCTCTCAATTATTCTCACCGTGCCTGTGGCACATGGAAGAGCCTATAAAGAAAACAAATACAATAACCAAGAGGCTTCCAGACCTCAGCCCTAAATATATCAGTCTTGCATTCCTTCAAAATTGTCTCACTTGATGAGATGGCTATATGGAAATGATTTAATCTAGTAAAACCCAAGGCCTTTGGGTAGCTAAAGTAGGTAACAAGGCAATCCAAAGGTTGCTGCTTGCTTAGGAGATCTATCGAGGAAGAGAATCCAGAAAGAAAGCTGTCTGTCTCTAGGTTTGACATTTACCGGTGGGTGCCAGAAAGACGGTGATGTTCAAGCTTCGACACAATTAGAACAGTCATACACAAAACTGTGCAGAATCTCAAGAAGTCACATAATTTTGAGACTGACTTAAAAAACGCAGGCTGGGCCCTTGCAGGAACCTCAAAAATAACTGTTGCAATGACAGCTTGATTTCTGTCAGCTTTTCCCTCGGACCACAGCGGCCACTGATTTCTCTGCATTCTTAAGGACACGCTGCAGACCGGCTCTGGTGCCAGCTCACACAGGACTCTGGAGCATCCTTAAACTCCTGGGAGCTCCAAGTTTCTCTATGTCAAAGAGTCTGGGCTTGGACCAGAGATGGTCAGGTTCCTGCCTGCTCAAAAAATGTTGTGATTCTTACAACAAAATATCAAAACTAGATACTTGTTCTTTTATCTCCCCAATCAAACTTCAGAGAGAGCTTTGGATAGTGAGAAAAAGGGGGTCCCTCTACTTTCTAGCCACACCACTGTCCAAGCTTTCATTCCCTGCTCTGAAAGGGGCCCGGTTGAAACAAGGTAGCACTTATGAAAAACATTTTGTGAACAGTTCCTGAAGCGATAACTGAGCCAAACAGTTAATCTACCCCTGTCCTACTCTACAATCTTACCCTACCGTCCCTCATCGGGGCCTAAAACAAGGACAATACCCTGAAGCATTGTTCACCATTCTTCATGTGACATGTCAGAGTCACCATGAGAAATCCTGAGCCCTTAAAACTAAAAAGTGCACATTCACCTTGAACTGCCATTTGCAGTGTGTCAGATGCCTTGCGCAGACAGACCTGTGGCTGGTGAAATGGACCAGGGATGCCGGAGTGGAATATACTCCCAAGTATCGCACAGCTCAATTCCCACTTAGATCTAATTTGTCACTGGGCCAAGAACTTATGCAGTCGACTGTTCTCTTTACAATGCATGTGATGTTTTCAGATTTATCAGCAAATAAAGAAACAGTCATAGTGAGGAAAAAGTGTATTTCACAGTCATTATAAAAGTACATATATTTAATAATGGTGACATAAATATGGTCCTTATTTATGACCAAATCATACAATTGAAAGGGACTTTTCCTCCTGGACTTCGCCCCACGGCAGTTGGGTCATTTCCATCAGTAGCTGCAGGCTGACTGAAATCACAGGCACGGACAAACTAAGGGAGAGTCATGAGTCAAACAGACAACACACTCTGTACTTACCAAAGGGACAGTCAAGTTCTCCATATAAATATAATAAAATAATAAAGAATTTAACATTTTTTTCTTTCACTCAGTTTCATAGGTTGCTTAGGTGCTCACACACACCAAAAAATACAGCTTATTCCCTCCCTTCTGTTCCCTGTCCTCTCACTGGTTCAGAGTACACCTGAGCTCCGAGTCCACGTTGCCCATGGCAACCCGGCGGCTGGTGGTACCATATCTGCAGCTGCACTCGAAGAATGATCAACATGTTCTCCACGAGCTAACAGCAACACAGAAACACACAGGTTGGTGAGGAAAGTAAAACGCATGAGAAAAGACACAAGGGTCGACAGAAAGTTCATGGTGCACAGGTATGCATTTTCCCAGCCTGCTCAGAGGGGCCATTCCAGGCAGACGCCACCCTGACAAAAGGATTCTCCACCCACTGAAAATCAAGCATGTTAAGTCAAAAGGAGAGAGGATCTACTGGATGATTCTTTTCTTTTTTCTGCTTAAAAAGCTCTATTTTCAGTGTAAAGTTTACAGCTTGCTTTGAAACTACACAAAGGAGTAATCCCAACAACCAGGAGGCTGATGTACTCCTAACATGGCCGAAGGGTGGGGGTGATCCCCGTCCAAAGGGTTGAGCAGCCCCAGGTCTTGCCAGCACAGCTGGGTAGCTTCTGCAGTTGACTAGAGATCTGGTCTCTCCTCGCTGAATCAGAAGTGGGAAGGGCCCAAGGAAGTCTGCTGGCAGAGGGCTCCTTGCTGGGGAGATGAAGGCTGGCTTGCCATTCTCAAGGGACTTGGCCCACTTTGGAATCAGCGGACTGAGGTGACCCAAGGGCGTGGCCACAGTGGTAGTCTCTGGTGACATCTATACTAGTCAAAAGCTGAAACTTCCAGGAATGGTGTGTATGCTTGTTGTGCCGGCTACTTGCGATGCTGAGGCAAAAAGAATGGCAAGTTCAAAGGCAGCCTGGGCCACTTATTGAGACTTTGTCTCAAAATTAAAAAGGAAAAAGGGCTGATGATGTGGCTCAGCACTTGAGCACTTTCGCAGCCCTGGGTTCAATCCCTAGTACCACAGGAAAAAAAAAAAAGTAAAAAATAGTTGAAGATTCTAGGCCATTCTATAACCTACCTCCTAAACTAACTGCTATCCATCCTGTGCCATCCTGGTCCACTGATTCCAAAGTGTGCCAATACTTTCCCTTCTTGCAATTCTGCCCATGACCAGAGGCCAGGCCCAGGCCTCCCGTGGGGAAAGCACCCATCAGGCTCCAGCTGGATGCAGTCAGACAACACCAGAGTCCACAAAACACACACACAGGGAGAACACAGTCACAGAAGTGGAGACACATCTTTGGTTCGATCCTTGGCAAAAAGTATGAAAACACAACACAGATTGAAACCCTGTTTGGGGGATGCTGCTTTCTTGGAGGAACTGTCCCATACTGAACATGTTCCCTGCCCAGCGAGCCTGTTCGCAGTTCACAGCAGGTCAGCTGAGCTCTGAATCACACTTCCTTCCTGGGCAGCATGAAAACTGCGTAGCACAGAGGTATCGTTGCTTTCCTGCCATCCGAGTCCTGCTGTAACGTTCTTTCTCTCTTTGTAAAGAACCAGTTATGTTCCACACCTTCTAGAAGCATGGGAGCTCTGCTGGTATAGCAGGATGAGCACAGGGTGGCTGGGATCCTGCCCCCTCCTGCAGGCCACTGTGGTCCAATGCTATTAAAAACCACCTGAGCCAGCTCGTCTGCCCTCTGGGCTGTATCTTCGCCTGCAAACATGAATTTGGTGAGACTGCTTTTCATCTCTCCAGTTGGATTTCCAAAAATCATGTTATTTCAGTTTCATGACATCCCATAATGAAAAAAATTTCTTTGGACAAGATCATTCAACCATCAGCAATTCCCTGCCACCACCACCACCACCAATAAAATCTTTCTTGGGACGGGTGTTTCCTTTAGCTGTTTTCTGCTATCTGGGTCCAGACTGTTCCATCTTTAGTCTGAGGACTTGTTCCATGTTCCTCTCCAGTTCCTCGGGCCCAGCATTGCAGCTCACTGCTCCTAACCAGCCGCAGAGATTCGCTGTTAGTCACCAAGAGAAAACCACTTCACTCCAAAGGAAACTGTGGCCTCGATGGACAGACCTTGGACGCTGTTGGTCCCTCTGAGGCTGAGACCAACTGCTGAGCAGAGAGCAATTGCTGGGAGGTATGCACACACAGCACAGAGGGATGATCTGTAACAGTCTAGATCAGTCTAGTCTGATGCGTGGTTTTCAGCCCCAAGCCCAGCAGTGTGAGACAGAAGAGGGCTTGGTGAGTGGGTGGAAGGAAGGATGGTCTGAGACTGGAATCCGTTGTCCCTGCAGCCAGCTCTCCTGGTGATTTCCAGCATCTCAGGAGTCCTTAGGTAAGGTTGGGATGTGCAGGCTTTGGGTGTGTGGGTTTGGGCTGATCCATGGTTGTGAAGTCACGTGACAGGCGTAGAAGAGATCTTTGTTCATACTCTGACAGATGTGTGGAGCTCTGTTCTGCTGCATTCCTTACAGAGACCCAGAATCTTGCTGGTCCAGGTTAACACTGGCCCTTGACCCCATCAGCCAGGTCGAAGGCGAGGCTGCTGGGGGCTGGGGGCTGCAGCGGGGGCATGCTGGCCTCCAGGGGCCTCTCTACGGAGGGCTGCAGGCTCTGGTGGCGCTTCCGCAGCATCTGTCCAATGCCCATCATGGGGAACCTGCCCCGGCTCTTGACACAGTTGGGGCTCCCCAGAGGCTGCGTGGGGCCACTGGTGGGAACTGGAGGCGGAGAACACACCTCCTCCTCTTTTGGGGGGCTGTTCTTATCTTCAGGAGCAAAAGAGATCAGGGTGGGATGCAAAGGAGTTTGGAGAGGTGACGTGCTCCCGGACAGCAGCCCTGGGGACAGTGTCCTCTCATGGGAATTCCTGCGAGCCAAGCTCACTGGGGAGTTCAGGACCCGGTAGCGATGGGATGGGGACAGGAGGTCTACGTGGTCATCGCGGTCGACAGACTCGAAGGAGCGCACCATGTCCAGCATCAGGGGGTCTTCTTTGGGGGCAATGCCAGCGCTCCCAGGCCCTTGCTGATGGGACTCCAGTTTTTTTAGGGTCCTGGGGGTCCTGGGAGGTGGGACAGGGATGAATTCCATGGAAGAAGAGGCCACACAATTGGAATCGGAGGTCTTGCGGAAAATACTGCGGCAGCCGAAGGAATCTGCATATCAAGAAAACAAATAAAATCATGACAGCCACAGAAACAGTGCACAGGGCCTTCCCCTCCCAGTGCAGACCAACAGACTGGCTGAGTCAGTGACCCTCGGGTGGCAGGAGGAAGGGAGAAAGCAGGGGCTTAGCTACAGGACAGAGACAGCGGCAGCATTCGGTTATTCCCAGAAGCCCGACAGTTTTTCTAGGGTGGAGGAGACAGGAGGTCCCAGTTTAATACAGACTTCTTGTTTGGCTACTTAAAACTCTAAACCCTGCCCAAGGGGCTCTGCATAAAAATGTGCACGCACAGTGGGACACCCATGAAATTTCTGGAGGGGTACAGAGCCTGACTCCCTGAACCCCTACAGATCTGGTCATCCGACCCAGGGAAGACTTTTCCTTTCATATCCCCACTGCCCCGTTTACGGTAGTACGAATATGTCGCAGAAAATTTATCATCTTAACTATTTATAAGCGGACAGTGGCGGTAAGTATATTCACCGTGTTGCACCATCTCCGCAGCTGTTTTCTCCTTGCACATCTAGCGCTGCGCGCCTGCTAAGCACCAACTCCCTGCTTCTCCTCGCCCGCCCCCCCGGCAGCCACGGTTCCACTTTCTGCCTCCGGGAAGCTGACTGCTCTCTACAAGTGGAATCACACAGCGTTGCTGCGCTGTGACAGGCTCGTTTCGCTTAGCACAGTGTCCCTAGGTTCATCCTGTCAGGACTTCTCTCCCTGTCAAGGCTCCCTCATGGCTTTGATCTTGATGGATTCAGATCCAGTTCTCCACAGCACGGCTGAGAACTACGGTTTGGGTAATTGGCCCATCCACCCAGTTCCCATCTCCGGGGTGGGCAGAGCCTGGAATCCAGGTTTGCAAACTGTGCCGGAAGACAGGGAAACCCCTGCAGATTTGGAGCAGAGGGAAATAAAGCCAAATTCATGCAGAATAAGCTCTGTCTTAAGTTCTTTTTTCTGTGTCACATTTTTATAGGTCCCACAGAAGCCCAGCTGCAGGAGCAAGCTGCTGCCCTCTGGGAGTGGTTTGGGGAGCAACGGAGGGTACCAGGGCTCTTCCTTGCCTACATAAACAAACACAGACAGACACCGAAACAAACCTCCTCCTCAGGCGGCTCAAATGCCTGAAATTCATCATCATAAAAAAGCAAAGTTTTGTTCACGGCTAACGTCCCAATATTTGGTTGGCACACAGTCACCTCCCTACAAGGTCCGCTGCACGCTCCACACCAGGCAGGCAGGGTGTTTTGTGCAATGTGGGGACAGTGGTCACTGGCCGGGAGTCCCGCCAAGGGCTCAGCAAGCCTGGGTTACCCCTAGATGGGCAATGGCTCTCTCTGAACCTTTGATCTTCATATTTAAAACAAAGGGAGTGGATGCTCTTACTCAACAATGCTCTCAGTTACAGGAACTTCTTCCCTACCTCATGGCTGTACGGCTCCCATGTGCCTCCCTTGACATTTCTCCTGTGTGTGCTAAACCTGTGCCCGGTGAGCTCCTTTCTACGTCAATGCTCATCCCAGAGCAGGGAGACTCACATTAATCAGCTGTCTACCATGTGCTGGATCCCTTATCACATGGAGAAACTTCCATGCCTCTTATTGCAACCACCCAACACTTCCAACAGGCAGGGGCTATTACAAGTAAAGGAACCAATGGGGACTCTGTTGTCTGCAGCAAGTGGTACAGCTGGGATCTGAACTTGGCTCTGCATAGCTACCCCTACCAGCGCCCAGACTCGGTCACAACTCAGTGCCTTACCAGGCCACTTTTCTGGGCAAGACTCCAACAAAACCAAACCAAACCCAATCTGTACTTATGTCTACCACTCTCACTCTGCTCCTGAGCCCAATCTCTAGTTCTGCACTGCGGTCTCTACCCCTACAACACCATGCACCCAACCGGGCTCCAGAAAACTGTCTAGTCTCAGATCCTGCACCCCTATCTTGATTCCTACACCCCGGTCTCTTCTCCTGTAACACCTTATACCCTTACTGTGGCCTACAATACCATGGACCCTAATCTCTGCTCTCACAATACAATGCACTCCAGTCTCTAGTCCCACAGTTCTACACACTCCAGTATCTACCCCAACAACGCCATAACCCCGTTTCTGCTCTGCAATGCTGTGTACTCCAACCTCTCCTCCCATAGTGCTTTCTGCAGGTGGCTGACACGCCACAGCTTGGCTGGCCCTGGACAGGGCTCCCGTCCTCACAGATGTGTGAACACAGCCTTGCCTCTGCTCTGCTTTCCTGCCCAGCACGCCCTGGTGAGGGGTGCACAGCAGACACAGCTCTATAAGGGGTGAATGCCCGCCAAGGACCCCAGGGCTGACCCACCTTTGTCGGGGAAGCCGGGCTTGGAGGCCTTCCGGTCCTTCAGCAGGGCTTTGGTGTTCTGAATCTGCGTGATAAGCGAGGCCGAGGAGGGCTGCTTGTGCGAGGGCAGGTTCTTGTCCAGCTTCTTGGAAAAGGGTCGATGAAGAAAATCCCCTTTTTTCTCTTGTTCTTTGGGCTTTTTGTCCTTCAAATCAGAAGCAAATACATACACTTAGACACACCTGAGAATATATGAGATTCCTCTTCAAAAATTCATCCAATGGTGCACGCCTGTAATCCCAGCACTTGGGAGGCTGAGGCAGGACGATCATTGCAAGTTTGAAACCAGCCTGCGCTACAAAGTAAGCTCAAGGCCAGCCTGAACTGCATAGCGAGACCCTGTCTCAAAAAAAAAAAAGAAAAAAGAGACAAAAAGTCATCCAAGCAGATAGAGAATCTCCAGCTATTCAATCTTCCGTGCTCCCGAGCACTGACTGAGGGGAGAGCTGAGGCCCCGGCACGACTGTGCCCAGCACAGCTTTGTGTAAGGCGCGCTGATGAGAGCAAGGCCACCCTGGGAGGCCATTTATTCCTGAACAAGCTGAATGAGCTCAAGTAAAGCAGACCAAGACTCAGCCACAGGGAAGGAAACCTGTGAGTCATCTGCAGGAAAATGGATGCACCTTGAGGCCGTAATGCTAAGTGAAACACATTGGACACAAAAGGTTAAATAGCCCATGGCTTCTCTTATATGAGAAACCCAATATTTAATTAATTTAAAGGGAAACAAAAAAGATACCCAGGCGATTGACTGTGGAGATGGGAAGAGGAGCTGGGGATAGGGGAAGACGGGAGGGCAGCGAGGGGAGAAGAAGCCCAAAAGGTCAAGATGTGATATATCAGGGCACCAACTCCCCACGATGGACGTGATAATTACATCTCACAAACATGTACTAATAAAATGAAAGAAACAAAAAAGAACAACTTCTGGAGGCTTCTAGATGATAAAAAATGAGTGTTTAAATTTTTAAAGTTTATGATAGTAAAAGACACATCGCCATCAACCCCCCTCAGAGTGCTCCCCTTCACTTTGAACACCCTGATCCCACCGTTCTCGCCACTTCCGAAGCAGTTCTGCAAGTCCTCTTTCATGAGGGTCTCTAGCTGTGCTGTCGTGGCTGCCTTGGCGTCCTGAATCAACTCAAAACGTTTACCTTTCATGGTCATCTTGACTTTGGGGAAGAGCCAGAAGACACATGGTGCAGACCTAGTAAATAAGGTGAGTGAGGACACACAGTAATGCTTTCATTTGACAGAAATCGCTGGAACGCTTTGAAGTGACCCAGAACACTAAGGCAGCCATGAGAAGATAGGAACGACGACTTCCAGAACCGCACCAGAAAGTGGCAGGGATAAGTGCGTCTGAAATGAGGAGTATTTGTAGGGGTGGGATTCATGGAAATGTGTCTTTCACTGTAAGAAATCTTTAATGGAAACATTCATTGGATTTTTGATCACACATTTGTAAAGTGGTCCCTTAAGGTTCTACCCACAATAATGACTTTGCAGCTTGAGATGCAGCTGCTTGCATTTTAACATCGTGAGGCCAAGGAAGTGTCCAACACAACTGGACAAAGCCACGGAGTTCTGAGCAGTCCTGGATAGGTTCTGGACCTTCCCACCCTCTGGACATAGGAGCATTTGCTTGAGGACTGAAAGCTCGCGTGTGTGCAGCCTGATTGCTAAAAGCCTTGCCTGTACGGACTGGCTTGTAATCCCTCTGATGGGAGTGAACTTGACTCTGAAATATCTTCAACCCTATAGCCTCTGGCATAAAGCCAGGGACTTAGAGACCGCATAACAAATAGTTATTGAAACCTTAAAAAAAAAAAAAAGGCCACTGGAAACTGAACTGAATTCAAATTAATTGAGTTCAAGTTTCTGGGAAGGGTGATGCCACTAAGAAGTTCTCTTCCTGGCCCTCAAGACTGTGCTAGATGTTTACTGGGAAACACAGGCAGCCGCATCCCTGACCTTGCCCTGGTTGAGAAAAGAAGGCAGATTTCCACATTTTTGCCTTCAACTTGAAAAGCATTTGCAATTCAAGAGAGCTCATCTATTTTTCATGTATGTTTCTGAAAAGCTTCTCAAGGAGACACAGCTTTGCACTTTTACAACAGGGCCCTTTCTGATGAGGTTGTTCAATGCTGTTGCTGAGTGGGGCTCGATTTGTCTGGGTTTGGAGTGGGGGAAAATCAAGAGGGAGGAAATGGAAATTGGGGAAGGATGCAGGGACTTCAGAGGTGTCTTGACAGGCAACAACTCCCTGGGCCCAAGCCTCAGCTAAAGTGTCTTTTCCCCCGTGGGGATGGAATGAACAAGAGATGACACTTCCTCAGCACCTGAATGCCGTCATCTGCCATGAGGAGCCCCACGCAGCAGTAGAGCAGCTGTGTAATGAGGTGGATTCTGTTTTCCCCTTTACAAATGAAGAAACAACCTGTGGTGGTTAAATAATTCACCCAGGAGCAGACCGAAAACTCAGATTTTCATAGCCTCGAGCTTGGTGCTGTGAACCCTTGATGTGACACAGCTCTCTGAAAATCTGGGTGGAGCGGGGCCATGCCAGCAGGGGAGAGGGAGACCACACAGTGCAGGGGAGGGGGCCCCGCTGTAGTCCTCTAGCTCCTGAGCTGTGGAGTGCCTGTGTGCTCCAGGTTGTTTTCTGGTGCTGTGCTTTGAATGCTTCTCCACAGTCTGTGTTGAAATTCAACTGCCACCATAACAGTATTAAGAGGTGGGACCTGAAGTGGAGTGTGGTGCTTCGTGCCTGTAGTCTGAGCTATAGGGGAGGCTGAGGCAAGAGGATCACTTAGGCAAGGAGTTCAAAGCTAGCCTGGACAATGTAGTGAGGTCCCATTTAAAAAACAAAAACAAAACATACTCCAAGAAGTAGGGCCTTTAACAGGTGATAAGATGATTAGGTCATACGGGCCCTACCTTCCAGAAGGGATGACACCTGTCATAAGGGGAATGCGTTAGTTATCACAGGCATGGGCTCCAAATTAAAGGATGAGTTTAGCTAGACTTTTTCCCATCTCTTGGGCATGTTTCCTAACCAGGTGGTGCCCTGCACCACGTTCTGATGTAGTTATTAGGCCCTTGCCAGATGCCACCATCAAGCTCAGACCTCCTGGCATCCCAAAATATAAGAAATAAAACTCTGTTCTCTATAAATTACCCACTCTCAGGCATTCTGTTAGAGCAGCAGAAAATGGATGAAGACCTTTAGGATGCTACAAAGGGGCCCTCTGTGCTCCGGGCCCCCTGGTCAAGGCCAGGAGAGGACAATCAAGAGTCTCCACTGCTTTGTGCTCCTGTTTCCAGGAGACAGGCAGAGGCAATTCCTCTAAGGCAAAGAAGAAGCTTCGCTTGCATGCATGTGTGTGTGCGCGCACACACACACACACACACACACACAGCACTTCAAAAGGGACAAGACTGAAAAATCTGGAAGAATTTCTTCCTTTAGTTCAGTCTCTCTGTCTCTGTCTCTCTCCTCTCTCTCTCCATCTCTCTCCCTCCCTCCCTCACTTTCTTTCTCTCTCTCTCTCTGAAAGTCACCATTTCTACATGTTAACACATTAAGTAGGAAAAAAACCCCAATGCACTTTTGTTGGTGGGAATGTAAACTAGTACAACTACTGTGGAAATCTGTAGGCAGATTCCTCAAAAAACTAGAGCTAGAAATTCCATTTGACCCAGCTATTCCCCTTCTAGGAATCTTCCTGAAAGAGTTAAAGACATCATATTCCAGTGACACACGCATACCGATGTTTATAACAGCACAACTAGGATAGAAGAATCAGTCATTTCATAGTAACCAATGTTAAGGGACCTGTCAAGAATTCACTCCTGATCACCCCAGAGGACAAGAGAGCCTGGGTTTGTCCATGTAGAGGGTCAACTGCCCAGAAGAAATGTGTTTGTCTACAACCAGCTGATCTCATTGCCCTCCAAGCACATGTGACTAAATGCAACTGATCACCCACTTCTACCTTTTTCATTTGCATGGTCTGTTTTCTCCAGAAGAAATTTCCTAGGAAGCAGGTTACTCAACTGCTTTATGTAACAGAAAAAGATCTTCGGAGGGACTAATTACAGTCTCTCTTGCATGGCCATGCCCCTCACCCAGCGATGCTGCGGCCTGCCAGGACCTAGCTTCCCTCTGGGTCTCCCTGGCCAGTGCTCCCAACACCCACGTCGGCATCAGGGCTGGCGAGGGAATTCGAGCTCTCAGCTCTGGGCACATCTTCTCTGCACCCGCGGCACAGTCTTGCATCCTCAAGGCAGATCGGAGAGGAGGCCACACAAGGCCCAGATGCACGCCGCCCACAGTGCAGCTCTTTGTTCTCTATCAACTGTTTCCACCCACTGGAAATGTGCGTGGACATTTACAAAACTGGGTATTTTGAAAATGTGGCCCCATAAAGAATTATCTTCCCCCAAATTCTTCCAGGGTCTTATATCATTTGATGAAAGAGAAGTAGCCGGGGAGTGCTGGACCCCTAGGCTACTGGGGAGAAATGTATGCAGGGGTCAGCAGCCAATGGAAGGAAGAGGCTTGGTCCTTCAGAGATCTGGTCCTTCCTGGACTCTTCCCTGCTGGCTGTGCCACTGGGAGTGTGACAGCCCCTGCACAATGACTACAGGCTCTTGCCTGGAGCTCCCAGAACACCGCCATGGTAGTAGCTGGATATCTAGAATCCACTCCTGGCTCTTTCTACAGCTTGCTGGGTGATCTTGGGCATGTCACTTATTTGCAGTTAACTGTTTCCTTTTCTGTGATCAAAAGTATAGGGTCTTTTTTGGCTTTGGGGGGATAAGCACAAATCCACACTGCATCTGCTGTATTATATGAAAAGCAAATGCACTAATTAACAGGAAGGGATGCTCTGGGTTTTCCCATCACCCCAGGCTGGAGGAAGACCTGCTGCCTGAGAAACTGTCCTCCCTTACTCAGAATGGACTGTGGAAAGTGACCCTGGCAACAGAGGAGCCCAGGGGGCTAAGGAAAGCAAAGCTGTGTTCACTGAGTAACTCTGTCAAGCCCAACTGGTAGTGGGGTTCTCTGGAGTTTGCGGATTAACCTAATGATTAGAAACCCTTGCGCAGCTGTCTGGAGCATCAGCACCAGGTGCCAGGCACTAACACCTGGGATGGCCCAGCAGCCCAGGTGTCACTGGCTGATTAGTCTTGGTTCCTTGCTACCCATTATATAAGAGAAAGCCTGATTTTTTGCTGCGCAAAAAAAAAGCCATGAGTGAATTAATAAAAAGAAAGCCTGCTTCATAAATTAGGCTGCTGAGCCAGGAAACTTGGGACTGTTTGTGAGCTCCATCTCTTATCCAGGTAGAAATCGGAAGGCATAGACAGGTGTATGGCTATAGGAAGACAACCGAAATACAATCAGCTCAGCAAAGAGAGCACCCATCTGCTCTGAGGGGATTCTGATAAACCCACACTCACAGCAGGATTCTGCATGTTTTAACCCAGAATGATGATAGGAGTGTGCAGGCCCTGATGCCTGGGGGCAGAGACTGACCAATCCTTGGGGCCCTACGTGATGGTGAATTTCATTTGTCAAGTTGGTAAGGCTGTAGTGCCAAGTTGTTGGTCAAACATCAGTCTAGAAGTTCCTGTGAAGGTAGTGGTTAGATACTAACATTTACATTGGCAGACATGAAGGAGATTATCCTCCATAATAGGGGTGGGTCCTATCCAATCAACGGAAGGCCTTAAGAAGAAGAAAATAAAAATGTCTACAGGAAAAACTGCCTGTAGATGCCTTTGGACTTGAATTGCAGCATCAACTCTCCTCTAGGTCTCAAGCCTCCTGGCCTGCTCTGCAGATTATGTACCTACCAGCTCACAGAATCGGATTGGGTGGACCAACTCAACAAAATAAAACTCAACATCTCCCCTTCCCCCAGTGTGTGTGCGCGCGAGAGAGAAAGAGACAGAGACAGAGGCTATGAATGTGTCTGTTTCTCTGGCCACCCTGACTTACTCCATCAGAATCCCCAAGTTCTTACCTGCACAGCATGGAATTCAAAGTCTCTTGTCCAGGTGTCCAAGGACGCCTGTGAAAAGCAGCATTTTTCAACAATTAAGACGTTGCACCTGCTGTTTATTCCCTAAATTCTACCCCTACCACTTCTTCCACAGCTCTGACTCAAAAATTATTCATCTCCATGTTTATACACACAAAAAAATCAAACCCCTAAATCACAGTGGAAGTAGGCGGCAGATGTCCTGATTTACATGCTGACTAGATTTTCTAGGTACACTTCTTATTAAAGTCTAAGACTCAGAACGGAGGAACAGTCTAATGAGGAGGAAGCAGCTCAAAGTGTGTCTCAAACAGCAAAAACAAGCCAGGCGTGTTGGTGTGTGACTGCAATCCCAGCCACTCTGAGGCTGAGGCAGAGGATCACAAGTTCAAGCCCACCTGGGCAACCTAGCAAGACCCTGTCTCAAAATTTAAAAAACTTTAAAAAGGGCTGGAGGTGTAACTCAGGGCAAAGGCCCTGGGTTCAATTCCCAGTACCACACGCAACAACAACCAGCAAAAACGCCCACAGAAACAGCACCCAGTCAAGGAACAGGCTCCAGCCTTTCTGTGCACAAAAAAACCTACCATTCTGATTTCCAATAGCACACACCATTTGACCTGATTCTGAACTTTATTTCTGAGAGTTGTACTGATTTTTAAATAAGACACAAAGTGAACATTTTAATATTTACCTTTGAACTCATAGTCCCTGTTGTGGGTTGAATTACATCCTCTCCAAATTCCTAAGTTGAAGTTCTAACCCCCAGGACCTCAGAATTGGACCTTACGTGGAGGTCAGATGCTTAAGGAGGTAATCAGGTTAAAACAAGGTCATTAGGGCTGCCCTGAATCCAAAATGCCTGTGTCCTTACAAAAGGTGAAAATGTGTACAGATAGACAAGCATACGAGAATGCCACATGAAGGTGTAGGCAGGGAGTGAAGGTGTAGGCAGGGGAGGCGTCTCTAGGCCAAAGATCGCCAGCAACTACCACTGGCCGAGGAAGAGGCCTGGAGCGGAGTCTGCAGCCCTCAAGAAGAGCCGGCTCTGTCACCACCTGGACCTTGGCTGTTCCGCCTCCAGAACTGTACAACAATAAACTTCTCCTCAGCTTTGGTATTTGTCAGAGCAGCCTAATCAGCCGAACCCAACCTCCCTGTTCCACTCTGTGTAATTTTTCTCCCAAAACCCCGATATTACTGTTCATTTCAGAAAAGACCTCCTGTTTCTTTTTCACATCTTTCATGAACATTAATTTTTTAAAAAGACTAACAAAAATGGCTGTGAGTCCTACATGACTTAAATAGCTACTTTAAAAAATGACTGGGCACCTCCCCCAACCGTGGTTCCCAAGGAACTCTGTCTTAGGAAGAGGGGTCCCTAGGGCACATGCACAGGTGTTTTCAGATGAGATAGCTGTCCCACTTTTACAAATCTATTTCCTGCCTTTTATAGGAAGAACACATAGAGAGACTGATAAGTCTTAAAATCACAGCACTGTAGTCCCAAGAGGGAAGGTTCTAAAACTGAATTCAGCTCATTGGTCCACTTGGAGGAAAAAAAAAGACTAGAATGAAGAGGAAATGCCAGGCCCTTCTTGTGACCAGTTACACGGCTCGGTAATACCCAAGCCACACCCAGCCAGTGGCACAGAACCTGAAACTGTCCTCAGCTCCCTGTCCCCACCCGCCCTCCATCCCACAGGGTGGCCACCTCTCCTCCCACCACGATAGCAACAAGAGTGGACAGAGGCTCAGGGCCTGGCCCTCACAGACTTTCCCAATGCTTCCTCCAACTGGCCCCATCTGCCTTCTAGGTTCCAGCAGAGACAAGCTGGGCAATCTTGTAATAGCCCATAATTTAATTAGCAGAAGTATTGCTGCAGTTTGGAGAAAACAAATGGATCACAGAAAATCGAAATGTTGCTTGCCTATTAGTGTTCCTATTTAAACCTGAAAGGTTCAGTACTTCAACAAATGTTTAAAACGTTCACCATGTGTTTTCGGGCCAAGTGAAATAACCGCCAGAGAAAAAGAATCTGAACGAAAGAAGGGACCCTCTCCCTTCAGGGTTCTGGCACTCTCAGACACACAGCTGCACAGGCGGGGTGTGAGGGCCGTGTAGATGAGCGTGACAGGCACATGGGAAAGGTGGCGGGGTGGCCACACACGGGGCATTCCCTGCGGTTCAGGTTGCATCGCTGTTTGACACAAATGCAAAGAGGTAAAGGAGCCTAACGCAAGTTCTGTGACCGCCGTTAGTGTAGGGACTGCAAGTGGACCCTTCCTGCCTTGAGCCATGGCCATGTGGTGATGACAAGCCCCAGGCACCCCCTCACTTTAGTCCAGGAGGTGTCCCACCTGCAAGATTCCAACTCTTTACTTGCTTGTCCCAGTTTTATTCATTGTCTGAGACTCAGGAAAGATCCTACGGCTGATTTTTTCATTTGTTCATTTAGCAAATATTTACTGAACACCTACTATGCGCCTGCTAGGCATCATGCAGGCTCTAGGACACTGAGTCAATCCCTGCTCTCACGGAACTCATAGTCCACAGTGGGAGAGAGGTGTTACTCAAACAACACCCAAGCAAATGAGAATCTGCTAACAGGACCATCCCCGTATGCACAACGTGGTGTCACACTGGGCTGGAGGGATGGGATACGGTAGCAAAGGTCAAGGAACAGCAGTGATCCCTGAGGAGCAGACCCTGCCTTGGGATCTGAAGACACATGGACAGTGACTGAGCAGAGAGGGGTGGGGAGAACATTCTGGAAGGGGGAAGAGTGTGTGCACAGCCCCATAAGCAGAAGGAGCAGTGGAAGCTGGGAGTGGGCGGGGTGTGTGCTGGGCATGGGGCTGCAACATGAGGTACAAAAGGTAGTGAGCAGAAGGCAACCTGTACAGACGGACATGGCATGGACCCTGCTCTCCAGGCCAGGGGAACCTCCTCGGCTTCAAGCAGGGTGGTGACAGGATGCGAGCAGGGGTGAAAAACTCTTAACTGGCTGCCGTGCATAGAAGAGAGGAGAGAGTGGTCACTGGGAAAGCAGAGGACACGCAGGAGGCCATGGCAGAGGTGCAGGGGAGAGGCTGGGTCCCGTGGGGTAGGCCTAGAAGTGAAGGCACCAGGACTCAGTGAGGGACTGGCTCTGTAGCTGAAGGAAAGATGAACTTCACAGATTCTTGGATTTCCGCTCTGGGCTCTGGGGAGGATGGGGCTGTCACAGAGGATGAGCCAGGGGACAGTTGAGTTCTGGGCATGCTAGATTTCAGACATCTGCGCTCATGCAAAAGGAGGTCAACATGGAGTAGGAATTGGCCAGAGGGGTCTGGAGCTCAGGGGCAGCTGCGTGCCTGTGCCACCCTCCTCGCCTGTCTGCGCCATGAAAGCCACCCATGGGCTGGAGGCGCAGCTCCTGCTGGAGACAACTCACCATCCAGAAAGCTCATCTCCAATCTGTCATCCCAGCGCCCCAGGGCCAGTCTCAGGAAGGAGGCAGAATCCCATCCCCTGCTCTCTACCCTCTCAACCCTTTGCCTCTGTCCCCGCAAAGCTTCATGCAGTCATAGGCGGGGCTATGAGTTGTGACAATTTGCCATAGGCCACGAAATTTTATTCTAAAATCAAAGAATGTTGGTGTTTTTCTCTCAGGTATATTCTAGGTAACATGAACTCACTGACTAGAAATGCTTGCTCTCATCTAGAACTTTCCCTGCTTTCATCTGGAACATACCCTGCTCCTCATCTTACTTTCTTTTCTTGATAACAAGAACTCTGACTTTCAGCTATGTTGAGAGCCTCATGTCTGGATGAGGCTCTTCCCCGCAAAACCTCATGCAACCTTTTTCATGAGGTGGCTCATGAAAGAGCAGTGGAAGCTGCTCTTGAAGGGGTTAGGGTTAGGGTTAGGGTTAGGGTTAGGGTTAGGGTTAGAGATTGAGCATGGATTGAGAGTGTGTAACACTGGAATTGATTCATGCTCAAGGGCACAAGGATTAAGGGTGTGAGTGCTACCCTGGGTGAGTAGACTGGATGAGATAGAAGGGATAGAAAGAGCTGTGGTTATCCCTTGTTCCTTTGCTACCTTCTGCCCCCCATCTCTGTTTCTCCTCTGTGATGCTCCTTGGCCATGCCACCCTGCCTTGAAGCCAGCCAATTATGGAATGAAACCTCTATAAACTGTAAGCTCAATAAACCTTTCCCTTTTTAACTTTGGGTGTTGGGTATTTTGTCTCAGCAACAAGAGAAAAGTAACTAAGTCAGTATCCTTCCATGGAAGCCCTGTTCTTCTTCTTTCTCTCCAGTACCACTGACAAAGAGGCTAATGTTCACTGACTTTACGTGTCTTCTTCCCACTCCCCCCACCCACACCTCCTCCACTTCCATAGAGCTGGTGAACCTAACATCCTCTGGAGGCTAACCACTCAGCCAACTCTGTTGAGTTTTGCATGTAACCTCTTCTCCATTCCCATAGTCTCCCTGGCCATTCTTTGCCTGTAGATTAACCAGTTTTTCTCCTCTGACCCCAGGCTCTGTCTAGAGTGGGCAGCCGTGCAACACATCACTGGCCTCAGGTTTGAGGCTGGCCCCTTTCCTGGGCTCCAATCATGTTCACACTCAGTGCCACGTATTTAAGGTCACGGGGTTCCCACACAGGGCAAAGGAGGTGAACCCCGGAGTGATTACTTCCCCAGCAAAGTGCAGTACTTGTGTGACCAGGACGAAAACTGTATACTGGAAAAGGAAAGAAGTGGCCAAGGCCTGGAGTCAGACCTTCTGATCTCTCCTCCCGTGAAGGAATCCCTGAGTGTCCTAGCAGAGGACCCTGGGACAGGCACTTAGGGGACAGGACAGAGGTTCCAGAGGGGGGTAGGAATGGTTCCCTGGAAAAATCACTAAGAAAGGAGACTGTACCTGACCAACATGTTCAGGAAGCCCTGCACTGCTGGCCCTGAATCTGGAGTTCAGAGACACAGTCTCCTCACTCACATGGATCTGGAGTCCAAAGCTGTGACAGTTTGCCACAGGACACTCAGTTTTATTGTGAAATCAAAGAACATTAGTGTTTTTCTCTTGGGTATGTTCTAGGTAACACGAACTCCCTGACGAGAGAAGCTGGCTTTCATCTGGAACTTTCCCTGGTTTCACCTGGAACTTACCCTGCTCCTCCTCTTTCTCTCTGTGATGACAAGAAGCACAACTTTCGGCTGTATTTTGAGCATACTATTTTACCTGAGCTCGTACAAGCGTTTCCCACCTTAGCTGCTCCCTGGGATCATCCTGGGAGCTTTACAAAATACTGACCCCCACGTCCTGCCCCTGGGGACACATACAATTGGTCTGCAGTGCAGCCTGGGTACCCAGGGGTGCAAATGCTGAGCGCCTCTCTGGAGCCACAGTGAGAACTGTGCCTCTGCTGCAAACCAGTTCTCAAGGGCTCGATTACAAGTGTATCTGTGGGTGCTGCCACATCCCGTAGTGACTAGCTTCCTCCCCCAAGAAAAATCGATTTTTTTTGGTACACATCTATTGGGGATTGAACCCAGGACCTTCATGTAAGCTACATTCCCAGCACCTTTCACTACTTTGTAATTTGAGACAGTCTCTCTAAGTCACTAAATTGCCCAGGCTGGGCTCAAACTTGTGATCCTCCTGCCTCAGCCTCCCAGCATGCCAGCTTTAAAGGCGTGAGCCACCACGCCTGGCAAATTGACTTTTCTTACTCCAGAGTTTGCTTCAGGTTCACTTACCTCATAGGGCTCCTTGATGGCCCTGCACTTTTCTATCTGGTAGAGCTGAGTCTTGTAGCAGACACTGTCCTGGATATCAGATTTCTACCAGAGGAAGGGAAAAAAAAAAGCATGGCTTAAGGCTTGGAAATAGAAACACACATTAAGCAGTTATTAATTTTTAAACCAGTGCTTGGCTGAGGAAGTGTGAAAGACGGGTGGCAAGCCAAGCAATTGCATTGCGAAGTCTTATTCCAGAACGCAGCTTTGGGTGAGCTCCGGGCCCAGAGCCAGGGCTACTCTATCGCAGGCTTTCCCAGCAAAGGGTCAGGTGACCTTACGTGGCCACTGGTCCCTGCTGGCCTCCAGCCCTTTCATCAGTGCAACAGAGACGACTCTATGATGGCAAAGCAGAAAGCAAATAGGCAAACTGGAAGGAATAACATTTCATTGAGCTACTAACTAGGACACAGATCTTGCTTATTTATTTAAAATAGGAGTCACACACATCCCAAAAGGAAAGCCACTGCACCCCATAACATAGCTTGAAGAAATCAACAAATAGTTAATAAGCGCCCTGATAGGTTCTCCAACTTGAAATACATATTTCTTGGTTTTATAGAAGAAGACACTATGAAACAAGGGAAGAGATGGCAAATCATTACAGTGCAATGTTTTACTTTTTAGATCACTGGATTGGATTTAAAAATTATACATGGGTTATGAGTAATTGGCTGATAAGATTAATAACAGGGACGGAGCATCCAGTTCAATTAAATTCAGACCATGTCTGGAAATTACCGAGCAGACAGCTGTAGTCTGTGGGGATTAATTCACTCCAGGTTAGAAACAGCCACAGGCCTAGACTATGCATTCTCATACCAGGTAGATGCTACAGCTGAAGAGTTCAGTGTAAAACAGGTACAACGAGATAAAAACCTTCTCTGAGTCAAACCATGTCCACTGAATTTCTAAGGAATGCTTTCAGGCGATAAAGCTGAGCTCAGCCTTGCAATGCTTTCTAACTCTGATGCTAGACAAAGCAGAGGGCAGACGGCAAGACACCCAGACACATGAAGATGTAGCCTAAGAGCTTCCAGAGAAACGTCTTTCTTGCTTGAGGTGAGTGATACAATTGTCTCAGAAGGTGCGAAAGACCAAAACTTGTACCTGTAAACGTGGAAGTAGCCACAGCAAACACCCCTGTCTTACTTGGTAAAGCAAACTGGAATGTTTGAATCTGCTAGCCTACTAAGAAAAGTGCATGTCCTTCTGTAATAGGTGAAATTATGAACTTTACAATCACAATACCACTGTGATTGTGGTATTGTGATTGTGAAGACACTTTTACTTCTTGTGGTACTGTGATTGTGAAGACACTTTTACTTTTTGGATGACAGTCATCATTTGGAAGAGAACATCAATCCTCAGTGCGTTAGCTTTCTTTTCATACCTTGGAACCATTTGATAGATTTACCTTCACCCTCTATAGTATGATGGTCTCCAAATGAAATTATCTTGAGCCCTTACAACTTAAAGTGCAGGCACTTACAACAATATATATATAATATATTTGTCTATATATATGATATATGGGTATATTGTATTATATATATGTGTGTATATATTATATATGTGTATATCACATAAATTTATATGTGTGTACTACTGTACTCATATATCACCCACGTTATAAAATGTATGATAAAAACAGGAATTTAATAGGATAAGGGAGAATCTAGGACATGGGATACTGTGATTTATGTCTGGACGTCCCTGCAAAGCCTCCTGTGCTCATAGTCGGGGGCTTAGGGAGGTGACTGGATCCTGGGGTGTGATAACCATCTGTGGATTAGTCCACTGAGGAGTTCACAGCCGAATGTGATGTTGGGAGGTGAGTCCTGGCCTGAGGAGTTGGTCACCGGGAGTGTGGCCTGGAAGGGTCTATCTCCTCCCCCCTCCCTTGTTCTCTCTCTGCTTCCTGCTGCCGTCCCTCGAGCAAGCCTCCTCTGCTGCACCCCTCTGCCATGCCGCCCTGCCTCAGAGCCAGCCGACTACAGACTAACAACCTCTATGAACTGTGAGGCCAAACAAGCCTTCCCTCCTTACCGAGTGAGACCCCCCAACATGCTTGGCCCTTCTGCTTCTCATCATTTCCCTTTCTCCTTTCCCTCCATGTTGTGACACAGGCAACGGGGCTCTCATCAGAGTCCAAACAGATGGGCCTGCCTGCGCTTGGACTTTCAGCCTCCAAAACTGAACTAAATAAACCTCTTTTTGTTATAAAGTGCCAAGACTTGGGTATCTGTTTTATAGCAACAGCAAAGTCACGTCTTTCTGTGTTTGCCACCTGCTGCGTAGATTCCCTATGAGCAACACAATCACAGTGGTATCACCTTTAAAATGCAAGCTCAAAGCTATGAATCTGTCCCCAGAGTGCTACTCCATTACTGTTTACAGTGAGCACTTTTTTTCTCCTTAGTAATTGGCCTGTAATTCTGAAAGCTTTTTACTGTTGAGAATGTTGCTTCTCATGTACATCTTTTCTTTGGTGGCTCACCAAAAAAAAAAAAAAAAGTTGTGTAGCTAATTTCCTGTGGAAGCAAAATCTAGCAAATATCCTAAGCTGAATCAGCTTGGAAACATCTGTACTTTTATCCAACTGTTTAACAAACCTCCTGTCAAGCTGCTTCACATATTGAGCAAAGTTTTCTAGCCAACATCCCAAATTTATCTCCTAACGCTCTGGCCGTCTCGTCTCACGGGCATCATTTTGGTCATTTCTGGCATGGTAGGGAGAATACCATTTCCCCAATTGCCCATGGATTTTCATCTTTTTGCTCCAACATAGAAACTTCAAAAAAAAAAGAAAAAAAAGGAAACCTATTGCTTGGTAGACTTTTGTGACATATTGGTCTATCATGTGACTTTAAATAGCACTGACAGAGCTCTAGCAGTTTGTTCTTACTATCTAGATTCTAATTCTCTTCCTAGTAGAGATGACTGCACAGTATCAGATCTAAAGGTGCAGTATACACAGGGTCACGGTTATCCTTCATGAAAGTGAATTCTTAGTTAAATATCAGGTGGATAACCTGCCAATCCTGAATTTCTCTGGCTGACTTCCTGTTAGATCTGGGCCACTCCCGCCCTTCTGGGTGCATGCAGGAGCAATCACGTTGGGAATCCATGTTGACCTGGATCCAATGTTCTTGGCAGAATTCTTTTTAAATCATTGTCCATTTAAAGAGACAGCTCAGCGGCACAAGCACCTGCCTGGCAAGTGCAAGGTCCTGAGTTCAAATTCCAAAAAAATAAAAACAAAGAGAAGTGATTTAAGCAACACTAGATGCTGAAGCATGTCAACCTCCTTTCCCAGACACACACAAACTTCTTGTAACCAAACGATAAAAGGGACCAACATATCAGGGTACCACTGTCCACCCCATGTTGTGGGGCTCTCAACTGCCCCTTACATGTGACATAGTACACTTGGACTCTATGACTGAGTAAAGGTGCCAGGATCAAGTTACTGCAGCTCAATTTCATTCTTGTACTCTGGAGAAGTAAATATAAACCTGTGGTGTCCTTGTGTAATTTGTCCTAGGTAGCCCCATGGATAGCAAATCCATAGACCCTCAAGTCCCTTATGGAAAATGGTATGGTGTTTGCGTATAACCTACACACATAATCTGGTATACTTTAAACTCTAGATTGCTTACAATACCTGATGCAGTGTAAATTCGATGTAACTAGCTGTTATACTGTCACTGTTTAGGGACTAGTGACAAGGAAAAAGCGTGCATATTAAGTACAGATGCAATCTAAAGCATATATAGTCTTGGCCTGCATGAGTTGACTCCTGCAGACGCAGAACCCTTGGATACTGATGGTTGAGGAGAGTGAATTTCTCACACGCCATCCTTTAGAAATAAATGCCTGGCAGGCACTGCTCCTCAGCTGTTACGACCAGATATGTCTCCCGTGCCTCCAACGTGGGGAACCAAAGAGCTATGATGGAGCTGAACAAAAATAGGCCACTGAGCTAAAGGGAAATGACCTGGAACCCCTCATAGTTCTCCCCAGGGCTGAACTCTGTGGGAGACTTCGAAAAACATCCTGGATTCAAAGTGCCACCCAAGAAGTAAGTTTTGCTACTACTTTAAACTCAAGAAACTCAGCCTCACGTTAGGTTAAATAAGCAGCCTGGATCAAGTGTCGGCAGCTGGGCAGCCTTTGGTATCCTTGGGAGGATTCCAGACAGAAGGTCCTACTTACCCCTGACAAATAGCGCTCGAGTTTCTTGTTTAAGAGGAAGTAGATGGCGAGGATGTGGCAGGCACGGTTGGACAGCACGGTGTTGATGACGTCACTGTTTTTGAAGCCCAGCTTCTCGGTCATGTGTAGCACCACGCTTGGGCTCAGGTCTTCCAGGGAAATCCTGTGGGGCAGAGAGACACAATGGATCACCTCTCAGCTCCAATGGAAGGGTCCACAACGCAACTACACAGAGCTGTCCCACAAAGGTCTCTGTGGACAGTCAGGTTCATTCATTCGCTTGACTTCTTATGACAAAAAGTTTCATGTGCACAGAAAAGTCGGGGGCACAGTATACAGCTGGCCCTCTGTTTCCATGGGTTCCTTGTCTGGGTGGTCCAACCAACTTTGGATGGAAATTATTTGAAAAGAATTTTGCATGTGTACTGCACACGGAAAGACTTTCTTGTCATTCTCTGAACAACACAGTATAATCACTATTTACATTGTATGAAGTATTATAAGTAATCTAGAAATGATTTAAAATATAGAGGAGGATATGCATAGATTATAGTCAAAAACCATGTCATTTTTATGTATGGAAATTGAGTATCTGCGGAGTTTTGACCTCCTTGAGAGAATTCTGGAAACAATTCCCCAGTATGGATACAGGAGGATGACTGCTAATACCATATGTGTACCATCCTCCAGACTATTGATGACACTTTGCCACGCTGGCTTCACCCTTTTTTGGCTAAAGTATTTGAGATTACAGACATCATGACATTTCACTTCTGAACACTGCAATGTGCTTTTTTAAAACCAAGGGCATCCCCTACAGAGTCACAAGACTATCAACACACTGAATAAAATTTTAATAGTCCCTTGAGATCATCTAATACCATTACATTCAAATTTCCCAACTGTGCCCCAAATTTCTTCCCAATTGGACATCCTTTCCACAAAATGTATTCTTGGCCATGGGTGGAACACACATTTAGCCTGTCTTTGGGCTGAGAAGGGAAGGCATTCAGGAACTAATCAGACCATCAGTGGACCTGTGAGGAAGCATAAATTCTGCCATATAGGGAGTCTGCACTTATAAACTGGGGTACTCTCGGAGGCAGAAAGGATTAAGCTTGTTCCCAGTGGTATTCTGAAAATAAACTCTTTAGGATAAAATGCCAAAGAAATACCAGGCATTCGTGTATTTGCTCATTCATTCATTCACTCACCAAATTCCTGCCACATGGGACTAACATTCCAGGGAGAAAGACAGACTATAAATCCACTTATCCCTATGTGCAGGTAGTATAAACTGGTACTATCATTTTTTTTTTCCAGTACCGGGAATCGAACTCACGACCTTGCACTGGCCAGGCAGGCGCTGTGCCGCTGAGCTAAATCCCCAGCCCCTAAGCTGGTACTATCAGCATCCCCATTTGAGAGATGAAGAAACTGAAGGCCACAGCAGTGAAGCTACGTGCCCAGGGTCACACAGGCAGGAAGTGGCATCCCTAGAATTAAAACCTGTGCAAGGAGGCTGGAGTCTGAGTGCTAAACCTCTACTCTCACCGCCTTTCCACAGACATGCTGAAGGACTCCCAAGAACAAGCGATTAGGGTGACCGTTATAAGGGGTACAACTGGTGATGGGAGCGCATCATCCAATAGAACCTTCCGAATCCCTTGAGAGATACGAGTAGGGCACTAGTGAGCAGGAGGCAGTCATGTCTGGATGGAGAGTTCCCAATCTCCACTAAAGGGCCCCACAATATTTCTGATGGAACCTCAGAGCCATGACACCCAGAGAAAGCCCCCTACCGCAACCTGCAACTGTAAAGAGGAGGACCCCACCTTGCTCCGTCCACATGGCCAGCTCATAGGAGACCAAGGGCAGACTAAAGCTCCTGGCCATCACCCACTGTGTTGGTGTAACCTACATCAGCTCTCCTCCATCAGGCTGGACTAAGTGTGGTCCAAAACACCCACCTACAAGCAACAATGAAATCAGCTTCCTCACTCCTGTTTGTCTCCAAATGATAAAAGCCCAGCCAACATGCGGGAAGGAAAATGGAATGACTAGTGGTTAAAAGATAGATAGTCAGAACATATTTGGAAGCATATGGTTTGCAGATGCAACTCTAGTAGAACACGTGCCGTGTATGTTTGAGGTCCTGGGTTCTATCCCCAACACCAACAAAAAAATTTAAATAAATAATACAATTATTTGAGTTATGATGACTGCAGTTACTTGCTAACATGCTTAACACGGGGGGTGCAACTGTTCAAAAATATCTGGTAACACCAGTGTAGGAGTGACAATGGTCCCGTCCCTAGCCAATCAGACCACACCTGAAGCTATACCCTGGGCCAATCCAATCGTGGCCATACCTCGGCCCCACGCTCTGTCTGGAGTAGGGGCCTCTCAGGTATGGGAAGGTGTATGGTAGCACGGGGGCAGGGATAGAGGGCTGCAGATAAAAGGAGGGGTCTCCACAGGGGTGGACATCCCATTTCTGCCTTTCATTTACACTGTCTCCAAAACCAGGAGAGCCCTGCCCAAATGCAGGCTGTCAACCCACTCCTGACAGATAGGAATACATATTTTAAATGCTTTCCAATAAATAATATATACATATATTTGGTGCTCTCCAATGTCTGTTATGGAATCTGCATTATGTCTGTGTGTTCAGATGATACAGAGAATGGAAAAATGCCCAGGACACAAGGTATAAGTTGAACTAAGTACACTCACATGAGGCCCACTTTTATGCCATCTTGGTCTACTGCTGTCCGGTCTTACCCATGCCCTGCTTTCGCCCACCCACCTCCACAGCAACCCGGGGGCGGGGGGTGAGGGGGCAGGGAGAGCTGTCCAGACCCCTGCAGGGAGACAGGAAGAGACAGCAGGGCCAGCTCTGTAAAAAAAAGTCTGTGTCCAGATCAGCATGGCCAGCGGGGCCTCCAGAAAACATCTGCTGACTGACTGGCATGAACATTTATTATAAAAAATTTACTTTCAAAGCTGTTTTCCTCTTGTCTTTTGGACATCAACTTAGAGACTCAAATGACTCCCTAAGAGAAGCCTCTACACAAGAGCAGTGAAAAGTCGGGATTTTATTTTCTCTCTACTTTTCTGGCAGGCAAAAACTTTGGCAATACCTAACATCATTAAATCTCAGTTGTATTCATCAGCTTTGTCACCGAGACAAGGTACCGGCCGTACACAACGTAAAAGAGAAAAAGGCGTAGTTTGGCTCAGTTTCGCGCATTTTAGTCGGTGGTCTGCAGGGGAGAGTAGCAGAAACAGCCTGGCGGAAGAACCAGCTCACATGGAGAAGGCAGACACAGAGGGGGTGGGGTGGGAGAGCCAGAGAGAGCGAGACTCCCTCCCCCACGGCAGCCTCCCTGCCCGGACCAAATTCTCTGCTGCGCCCCAGCTCCTAACAGCCCGCTTAGCTGTGAAGTCACTGGGGGATCCTTGGATGAGGTAGAGCCTTCGTGATCTACACACCTTCCAGAAGCCCCACCTCTGAGCACGCGAGACTCCGGGGACCTTTGGATCTAAACCATAACACAGGAGTAGGAATGCAGGAAAACTATAAACCATACTCTGTAAAGAAAATATTTCTTTTTTTTTTTTTAGTTGAGTGTTCTTTCTCCTTTTATCTATATGCTGGTAAAACCTATCCCCTAAATTCTCAAAAGTACATTTTTATCTTAGAGATAAATGTTTTTCAAAATAGTGTCAACAGCAGGTATCTCTCCCAACAGGTTAGGATTCTGGTTCCTTGTCTTAAATACTGAACGCTGATCTACCCGCAGTATAAAATGAAGAACAAGCATTGCAAATAGATGCAAAGATCACCAATGTGGCAAAACCAGTACAGGAAGGTGAGTTTAAGTGTTAACCCACCAAAGTCTATCTGCAACCCCGGAAAAGCTACAGGGCGAGATGTCACATCATGATTCTTCGTCAGTGGAGTTGTGGCGATAAGGAGGGGTTTGGTAAGGATGTTGAGGGGATTGATTATGCTCATTTAGATGGTGATTACATTAGCTTAATGATTCATTTGGCTACCACCAATGGCCTCCTTTAACAGAAAGCATACCTGCACGCTGCTATCCACCTGTAATGAGGCATGGCCCCTCCGCTCTGCTTTCTGTCTCATGTTGGGGATAATATTTCTGGTGTCTGTTTCAGATACTGGCCCAAATTGAGCAGGTGTTGGAAAACAGCAAATCTATTTCCAGGTTCCCTTGGTAACCTAAGTAATCTAGATTTTATCTAAATTACCGCCCATGAGTCAAATGCTAGAATTCTAGATGGCAACCAAGCGAAACCATCTCCCCTGAGGCCGAGGAGAGTGTAAATTTGTCCAGCAGCACAGATCAGGCTCTGAGAATGTCCATCATGCGTCCCCTTAAGTTCTTCTAGAACTTCCACCCCGAAACACAGCCCTGCTGGAGAAGTGGGCGTTCTGCTTTGATGGTTTGGTGGGTGTTTCCAGCACTTCTCAGGGATTCCAAAAATAGGACCACAGAGGAAACCCTTTCCTGGAGCTTTCAGTGTCCCACCTGCCCCTCGGTCAGTGGTTCTGCGGTCCTCATCCAAGGTTGGACAGATGTGCAGGCTTTGCCTCTCTTGGTGGGAAGAAAGAAGCAAGGGGGCCCAGTGAGACAGTCATGACAGTCAGGGACCACCACTGGGACAAAGGATGAAATCCTGGGCCTTTAATCTCTTATTCATTAAACCACAATTTGTGTTTTCTCCCAAGGTAGTTGGGAACTTAAAAGTGGTTTTTGCTAAAAGGTGACTCTTCACTTAGGACTACAAATGCCCAATAGATAACTAAAGTAGAACAAAGCTTAACTTTCATTGGAAAGCTCTGGGTCAACTCCTTCTCAGTTCTGCATACAAGCATGTTAGTCATTTAAAGGGTGTCTGTCTACAAGTTGGCTCTGCAAGGGTTATTAGCCCAAACTGGCCCAGCCTATTTTACTGCCCTTCCAGACTGAGAACACCAGGAGGAGAGATTTCAGAGGCAATCAGCTATGCTCAGAATCTCCTTTGCCTTAAACCTATGGTCACCATACATCAGCAAAGGCTCATGTGACTTGAGATTGCTCTTGAGGTCATGAGGATTAGTCAGTCCCCTGGGAATCAAATTGCCCTTCAAGTCACAAGGATTCAATTTGAGCTATAAAACCACTACTGAGATAAGAACCTACTGGTCCCTGGCCCACCTCGGTTCATCCTTATAACTGGCCTCCCGCTTGTGAGTGGGCTGATCCGAACATCTGCATCAGAGGGTGCTCCTCCAGCTCAAGATGCAGTCTGCCTTATTCGCTTTGAGTTTGCTGGTTAGCAGGCTGGCTTCATCTTTGTCCAAGCTGTGCTTCCCCTTATTTTCTCTTAATTTTAATTTAGGATTTTTTTTCCCTGCAAATGCATGCTTCTGTTTTAATTTCCATTATCGTTAAAGCAAGATCCCTCTCTCGCTGGTAACACCAATCTGTCTGCTCTACGGAAGCCACAGTGAGGGTCCTCATGCCTTTACTCAGATTGGTTAGCAAAATGCCAAGCAAGTAGGAGAAAAGAACATGGAAGTATTTCCCCTGGACTCCTTTTCAACTCCAGTCTGCACCCAGTCTGATGAAGCATGGCCTCAGGAAAGCCCTGGGCAGTTCCCATCTGTCGCCCCCTCCTGTGTCCCATCACCAGGTCACTGAGGAAAAGCTATCCCAGCAAGTTCCAGGGCAACCCAGCCCGAATGACTCTGAACTCACTTTCTTCTTGCCAACACTTTAAGGCAGGAGACTTGGGGCTGAAAGAAATGTCACAATGACACAGTGCATGGTGACCAGAGGTTTAGGGCAGCCGCAGAAGAGGAGCCCAAAGGTGGTTCAGAAAGAGACATTTTTTTTTTAAATTAGAGTTTAGGACTTTTAATTTGTCCTAAAAATCACCGAAGCAAAAACTGTGATAAGACACTCTGCTTTCTTTTACAAGTCCCCAATGCACACACATGCACACACGCACACACGCCCTGCCACACATAGTCCCAGGCCAACACGCACATGGACACACACAGACACATGCACTCTCAGGCCACAGTATCTCTAAGTATTCCCTTCATGTGAACTGGAAAGAGATGGCCCTCAGGAAGACGTGGCCCTCAGAACAAGGCTTGGTGTGGGGAACGTGGCCTGGATTTTGGCCTCCACCCGCCCTCTGCACAGCCACACGCTTCCTCTCCCTCACCAAGACAGGCCTGAACTACTCAGGGCAGCGGCTAGGCCTGGTCCTGCCGGGAAGGAGTCCCTCTGGGTGCACCACGTTACCTGTTGGGATAGGTGACATTACAGGGCACTTTGCCTGTGTAATTCTCATTGAGCCAGCGATTCGCCAGGGCTTGCTGAATATTTGGCCTCTTCACAGGATCTGGTTCCAGCAGGGAGCGTAGGAAGTTGATGGCTCCTGGAAAACATCAGGTGAAGAAGGGACCTGTGATATAGGCTGAACAAGACACCCCGAAAGCCACAGCAGGTGACCTGCTACCTTGCCAACCCCTAGTCCCCGCCTCTGCTGGGGTGATTTATTCTCTGGCTCTCGGGGCAGAGTTGTGATTCAGTGATTCATAGAAAGTAAGCACAGTCCCACCTCCCTTCAGACAGGCAAGGCTTCAAATCCCACCTCCTTCTCTTTCCTTTTAAAAAGGAGGCGGTACATGTCCTAAGAGTTTAAGGTATCCATCCACGTGACACAGCTGGTATAGCAGAAAGCAAGAGCCAGCTTGGTCTCCCCACACTGGACACCTCCCAATACAACCTGCGGTCTCTTCTCATTGCTTAAAGGTGAGCCAAAGAGATGTATATTTACACACTTGAAGGCCAACAGAAAATAAACAGAAAATGCCTGCTCTCGAGATTGGTGGTTAAGCACTCAGGAAGAAGGCAGAAGGATCAAGACAGTCTAGTCAGCCTCTCGAATGTGGCCCTTACCACGGGACACCCACGTCTCAGAAGGTCAAGGAGGCGCTTCCTGGTTTGTTTTTTTAAAGCCATTCTCCATGCTGCCCACTCCTTCTCCACACCCGATGACCTAATTACTATGCAGCATCCAGCCTGGAAGGGGCCGATACTCACCTAGCCAGACATACTGGGCCGATGTGACACCAGACAGCCCCAGCATTAAAATAGTAAGTAGAATCTGTATAGTGACTTCAGTCTGAAAATTGTAGTTTTGTGTCCAAAGTTCTGCTAAGTGCCACACTGTAAACCCACAGATACCTGATGGGCTCCTTCCTGTTGGGCTGGCTCCCGTAATGAAGGGGCTGCTTGGGTGGAATGAAGTCTGTCATCGTTTTTCAGCCTAAAGACTTTACTGTAGTCACATCAGTTACGCTAAGCATGAAGTGAGGGAAGGATATGCCAAACCATAAAAGCCAGACAATTCCTTGTTATGGGTTAGATCTAAAATGTCCCCCCAAAGGCTCGTGTGTTCCAAGGCTGGGCTTTTGGAAGGCGATTAGATCAGGGGTGCTATACCCATCAGTGGATTAATCCACTGAAAGGTCCAGAGCAGAATATGCTAGTAAGAGATCGGGCCTGGTTGGAGGTGCATCCCCTCTCATTAAACATTTCCAGAATACCTGCTATTTCCCAAGCACTAGAGATAGGAAGCCAGTCCATCTGCATGAGGAACATTTACATCCTTTAAGACTGTAACAAGGGCAACACTGCATAACATGTACCAATATGCACATGAAGGTCACGGGCTACAAAACTGTTCAGCAGGAAAATAGGCGGTAGGTCCAGATACGAAAAATGAATGCCAGGGATCTCTTCAAAATGAAGAGAGTCTGTCTTGCTTGAGTTCTGGGACCATTCTATTTTCTCATCCTATAATCCTTCTTCTATGGAACACTATTATACTGTCTTGCAATGTTAAAAAAAAATCTTTTGTGTAGTTTTGTACATGTCATCCAATTTCTAACATACCCACTAATAAGCTCCAGAAAATAATATTAGTTTGCTTGGTTGCCAACCTCTTCTATCTTTTTCTCCAAAGCTATTTTTCAGTTTTCTAAGAGAATCTTGCTTTGCAAGGAAAAGTCATACAAATTCTCACTGTCACATCGGCTTTCAGTTGTCATTTCAATACTGTTCTTAAAAGAATGATGGGCCTTCTGTGAACACATTTTCTGTAGGGTGAAAAAAAGGTTCCAAGAAGGAACCTTTCATCAAAAAAGGGGCCAGTTGAGAGGCGAGAACCAACTCAGGAGAAGAAGCAGCCCTTGCTAGGTCCCCCGCACTCTTCCAGCAGGTCCTATGCAGCTGATGAGAACACAAGAAGGTCATCAGTCTTCACGAATGTAGCGAATAAAAATATAAAGCTATGCATAGACACCATACAAATCACATTGAATACCATAAACTTTACTTGCTTGTGGACCTGGTTCAATCCCCAGCATCACCAAGCAAACAGATACTTTAAGTTTTATAGCTGGGTTTCCAAATCAGATCTTCCTAAACTATTATTTGATGGTCTGGAAAGCAAATAGAGCTCCAAAAAAAAGTTCCTGTCCTGAGCCCCTTATCACCTTTCCCTCAGCACTGCTATGCTGTGAGATCCCCTTAGATCATAAGGAAGTGTACCTATTGGTCCAAAGGGAAAGATGTGGGCTTTGTGAATTGAACTGGCATTTCTGAATAACCCTCCCTAGGGACCTGAATGACACTCCCAGGCTACAGCGTGGCTTTTTCATCATATGATTACCCAGAGGAGCCAAGCATAAACCGGATGTGCGTTTCTGTTCTATTTTCATAACCAAGTGCTCTACATCTTCGCAAACTGCTGATGAGTGCAAGTAATTTTAGTTCAAATCTCTGCTGACGAATTTTATTTCTTTGAACGTCATAAGCATTGCATTACTATCCTAAAAGGACTTTCAGGACATCCTTGCAACTCTTTAAAGTTTTCTTTAGGGTTTTGAAAAATCCCTATCTCTGGGGCAGAAAGGATTCCAATATTCCCCACCATCCGGCACAGCAACCTGCCACCCTCCAACCCTTGAACCCTTGGGCCTTCAGTCTGGCCAGGCACATTAGGATGAGTCATATGGAGTACGCTGTCACCCTGCTCAACATAATATGAGCTACACACTCCTGTGGGGCAAAAGATCCCGTGCTTTACTTCCTGAACCAGCAACTTCCAAGTCTGGACCAGCACAGGTGAGCACCCGGATGTTATGTCAAGGTTAAAGGTGACAAAGTCATCAGACTTCTCCTGGATGCTGCCTGTTGCCTGCAAGTGGATTCTATACCACTGGAGGCTGCTTCTTCATTACCTCCCAGGCTGAGAATCCTGTGATCATCCAACACTTCGACCTTCTTGGAAACCTTAACTAGCACTGGCTCAACAGTCAGCAACGCTAACACCTTTCCTTCAGCTTCATGTCAGCGCATCTGTGACACACAGCGCTTTTAATCAGAAGTGACTGGAATGTGCTACAAACGCTGCCACCAAGGTTCAGTGATGAAAGAATAAACTGTCTGAAGAACGTCTAAGCCCTGAGAGGCATGCACTCTGTGATACGTAAGTGCCAAGAAGCAGAAAGATAAAATGGCCCAGAAGAGAGAACTGGAAATACTCCCAAAGCTTACGGTCTCCAACTATGTGGCAGAAACAAGGGGTGATTTTTTGAAAGCATGTTTCATGAATTCACAAGGGAAACGATACTGTATCTTTTTTTAAACTCAAATTTGGTGAAAATTCTTCAAACTGAGTATAAAAAGAGTACTAGGACATAATAGATGGGATCGTTACAAATATGAGTGGCATGCTCATCAAACTGATAAAAATGTGTGTTCATGACACACAATACAACTGACATCTTTTCTATTTGGATTGACATCGTCCAAAACACAAGGACTTAAAGACAGTAGATAATGTCCTTAAATCAGGAGGCGGCACATCGTGCTCAATGAAATAAGGCAAGGAGAGAAGTACCATGGTATGGTAGAAAAATCTATTTTCACTCAGTCAGACTTAATCCTTCTGAGACTCAGTTTCTTCACTGGTAAATTGGAAATAATGTTATTTCTCTTGCAGAGCTATGTGCAAACAAAATTAACATTAAAAAAACCCATGTACACATAGTCATTCAAGAAATGGCAAGAAATGTATTAAAAAGCAGTATTTATGGGTGTAAGTGGATAATATCAGAAGAAAATATAAAGGTGGACCACACTTATTAGAAGGAGGAGAAAATAAACTTGGTAGAGTATATGGAGCCACAATCATTGGGGCAATCAGAAGGGCAGCAGCTGATCCCCAAACCAGAAGTCATTAGTTTATAAACAAGATTGAACACCCTGGGCTATATATGCAGCTGGTGCACAGCTCCGAGCCCTACACTGGCCCAGTTCTCAATCTTGAGTGTTCAAATGACTCCATCGGCCACCTTCCCAGGCCACACACACTTCAACCCCAGAGTCAGCAGCCTAGATTCCCTGAGCATCGATCATGTGCAAACACTACACTTTACACCTGGTACAAAGAAATAAAGCCTAGTTGTAGGACAATAATGAGGGGGGCACCAGACTCCTTAGTTGGAAAATCAGATCTAGAAACGCAATTGATGATTGAAAAGTCAAAACAAGCACACAGAGTATAAGAGCACCATCAAAGCTCTCTACTCAAAGCAGAAGCATGTGAAGTCAGACCCTACTCCTATGATACTCAGATTACATGGAATATTTTTAATACTCCTTTTCTGCAATGACATTTGGACTGAATTTTAACATTTTAAGGCACATATTTTTTACTTCTTTAGGGTTAAATTTAATTTTCCCGATCAAAAAAACACTTAGATCTCAATGTGCTAAGGCTGAGTGAGATGCCTGGGAATAAAACCACGGTATGGTTCTGAAGTCATGAGAATGTCCTCCTTGTATTACCCACCTCCAAGCCCTTGCCTAGCTGCCCAGCTCAGGGCTGTGCTGAAGTAAGGACGAATTCTTGCTCCTCTTATAGCCTGTGTGTGGTTCATGCTAATGCTGTTCACAGTAGGTCTGGCTTTCATGCTAGGGTTGCACTGCCTTCCCCCAGTGCTACAGTGAGGCCATGTTCCATGTTTCAGAAGCTTGAAGGTACGAGTGGAAGGAGGTTTCACGCCGGTGGAAGTCTCTTTCTCTTCTGCTCATTCCCTTTACGTGGATCAGCAATGTTGAAAATGAAGGAAGCATCAGTCTAGAGCCTTAAGACAGGCAGAACTCTTTACTCCTTGATCCAACTCACCATAGATACACGAGTGAGAATAAACATTTGTAGTCTCAAGCCACTGAGAACTGGAGGCTGATTATTACTGTAGCTTAACCTGGCCTCTCGTGCCTAAATCAAGGAGAAGGTGGCAAATTAAAAGTTCTCCTGCTCCTCCAAGTCCCAGTAGGATTCACAGTGAGCACCATTTGCCCTTCCCAAGGATGTGGGTATAAACATCCTTCTACTGTTCTATATGTTGGGTCATTTAGGACAAAGCAGGCTCTGACCATCAGAGGAACTTAAGAGTCACTCAGAGACGGAAATATTTATCACTAATCCTACTCTAAATGGATTTTGCCTGTAGGACTACAAAATGGTACAGCTTCTCTGAACGAAAGTGTGGCAGATCCATACAAAACTACATACCTGTATGTGCTTATTATCTGACCCAGCAATTTTACTGTCAGGCATTTGTCCCAGAGAAAAAAACCATGTTTATACCAATGCCTGTACATGAATATTTACAGCATCCTTCCTCATAATGGTCTTAAACTGGAAGCAGCCCAATTATCATTCACTGGGTGAATGGTTAAACATACTGTGGTATGTCCACGCCAGAAGACACTGCTCAGCAGTGAGAGGAAACCCAGTTCCGAGGCATGCAGCAATAGCAACTTGGGTCTCAAATGTATATGCAGCATTTTTGAAGTGACAAAATTACAGTGACAGAGAACAGGATAGTGGTTGGCAGGAGTTAGGGAGAGTAGAAAGCCAAGATGTGGCTGTGGCCATGGAGATAGCATAGGACCCTTGCAATCAACTACACTACATCTGCACTGTGGTGGCCGTGCCACACACTGACAAGTGGGACAAAAATCACACAGAACTAAATACACAGCAACGTGCATATGAAAGCATTCAACATTTGTGAAATTGGAATAAGGTCACGAGAGAATCAACAGTAATTTCCTGGTGGTCATAACATACTACCATTACACCAGGTCCTGCCAGTGGACCAGACTGGGTGAAGGATAGATAGGCCTCTTGTTATTAGGACAACTGTGTGAGAATCTTCTTTTCAAAAAAATCTTACTTGTTTAAAAGAAAAGTAAAACCATCCCCTCTACTCTCTACCCCTACATCCTGAGGTTTTTAGATGCGGCACATACACCATCACATACCACACATTTCTACAACCTTTCCCATTGATAACACTGCATAAGTTCCGTAAGGAAAGAGATTGTTCTCCATCTTCCTGCCACCTGGATCACACCCAGCACATAGTTGGTGCACATTTTATATGCGTGGAATAAGTGAATGACTATGAAATGTGAATGAATGAATGCAATGCATGAATGAACAGTCTTCATAGTGCTCCGCAGCACTTTCTACATTTCTGGAAGTGCTAAAACTTATATATAACAATTCCTTCACCATTTTTGCACATTTCCTAACTCTGAAAGTTATGGCTCTCAGTGCAGAAATATTTCTTTTAGAAGACAGAAATGTAATTTATCTTCCCAAGGACATAAAGCCTCCTTCACTTTCAACCTCCAGGGATTCTGCCCTCCCTCACAAAGGTGAAAGTATGGCCAGAATTAGAAAATTATGCACTGGAACTCATTTCAGCTTGGATTCCACTGGTGAGCACAAATTCAGAGTCAGCTTGCGGATGCTTTATTAACTCAAGAGAAAAATACTTAACAGCAGTAAAATAAAGTGCTGTACTATAACCATATATCATAAGTTATGAAGTTAAATAGTTGCTTTTGTTTTCTTTTGTTTTTTGAGACAGCATCTTGCTTTGTAGTGTAGACTGGCCTTAAACTTGTAATAACCCTCTTGCCTCAGCCTCGCGGGTGTTGAGATTACAGGCTTGTGCCACCATGCCTGGACTGAATTATTCTTTTTTAATTTTTTGGTAAAATGCCTCATCTCAGTGAAGCTGAGTTTATTTCAAGAGGACAATGAAAAGGGCCATCTAAATCAGCTCTAGCCCACATACTTGATGTGAATTTTGAAGCAAACAAAAAGAACTAACTGTGCTAATTTACTGAATTTGAAACCAAACCTTAATACCAACTGTTTACGGAAATGTGAACCAGCTAAAGTTTGCGAGTACTTTTCAAACACACCTGATGATTCAGTCAGATGAGTAACTGAACCTACATACACTGAAAAGCTTTTGAATAGGCTCAGAACCTCACATAACCCAACAAATTACAGACCCAACCTGAATGAAACTAATATTTCTTTACAGTGAGTTGACTGAAGAAAACATAATAGAAATGTGATTATAAACCTTTTCCACGCCAAGACTATAATATGGTGAGTTTTAAAACAATCAAGCCTGCAATTACTTTTCAAGTGGAGAACAGAAGATCCTTTTGATGTGTGTGTTTTGCGCAGAAGGAGAAAGGCGGAAGTTGGGGCTCTGGGATTACGAAGGGAAAGGAAAGGTGAGAGAAGGGCGTGGCTGGCTAGAGATGGGAAGCCAACCACCTCTTGAGACTTAGTCTTGAAGTGGGAGGAAACTTACAGTCATGGGATCGTCATAGTAGCACTGCCGCCAAACAAAACACTGCTTGGCGGATGGACCCACACCAGTCTGGACAAAGGTCCTGAAACCCTGAATCCTGAGCAGCGGGTGCATTACCTGTGGACAGCTGGGTGGGAAGGGGGTTCATTTCTTTGTCCACCATCTTCTGGTACAAAGCCCTCAGGCTGAAAGGCTCCACTGTGAAAGGCAGGGTCCCCGTCAACATGGCATACATGTTCACACCTCTGCAAAGAGAAACCAGAGCATGAGACGGGAATGAGGCTCCGGGGTGGGGAGGAAGAGGACACAGGCTTAGCAGAAGCTTCCGCATCACCGCTGTCACACATCCTTCCTGGTCGTCCTTCTAGCCCCTCAGCAGCACACTGCGGCTTCGACACTGACAGGGTCAAGCGCGGGCACTGAGTGTGAGGCTCCACCCCGGCTTCCTGAGACAGCAAGAGTGTAGCTCCCAGAGCCACCGCCTGAGGACAGAGCCACCTCCCTCTCTGCTTTCTCAGTCGCGTACAGGTTCTGCATCCCTGTTCCAAAAATCCAAAATGCTCCAAATTCTGAAATTTTTTGAGTGTCACCATGATGTCACAAGTGGAAAATTCCACCCCTGGCCACATGGGACAGGTCGTAGGCAAAGCACAGTCACACAAAAGGTTCTGTATAATATTATCTCCAGGCCATCTACCTGAGCTATCTACGAAACATCGAGGAGTTCTGTGATTAGACTTGAGTCCCATCCTCAAGATGTCTCGTTATCTATCTGCAAATATTCCAAAATCTAAAAAAAAAAAACCAGAATGTGAAATAATTTTGATCCCAAGTGTTTCAGATAAGGGGTACCCAACCTGCAGTGGGAAAAAGTCAAAAACAAGGAATTTCAGACAAAATCATGTTTTAAAAAAAGTGCCTGGACAATATTAGGAACCTCAGATAAAAGTAGTCCTGCCACTATGTGGTCTTCCAAGTATAACTTGCAAGGCAGAGACTGCAAGAGGCCAAAGTAAAAGACACACAGCAAAGACCCACCCGGAAAAACCGGTACCAGGTGGATGAGCCCCCTCGGTTACCACTCAGGCCTTTGAAAATAAAGCCTCCTAGCAAAACCTGGTATTTTGCTATCTTCTTGAATTTTGCCTTGGCTTGTCACTAGAGAAATTCCTTCCCACTCTTACTTCTTATTTTATTATTTATTGTGTGACTGCCACCTGGCCTTTGCCCAATATCTCAGCTGTGGTTGAAATACCTTCTGAGTGGGCTTAGCTGCTTATATCCAAAGCCAATCTAGCAATCTAGAGAACAGCAACATCTTCTTGGAAGATTTTTATTTTGCTGATGTGCAAACCTAATATCATTTTGATGAGATTTCCTGACGGGGATAAAAAGCCTGCCAGGCAAGGAGTCTCCATTGCTCAAAAGCACCCATGGGAATATGTTTTTTAAATGGCAATGGGATTTCCAGTCAAAACAAATCCAATGAGAGTGACTGAAATTAAGAACCTGGAGGCCTAATTCCACCAAGACGCCTCTGAATTACTATGCTCCAGATAATGACAGGTACCAGAGGCCACAGGCTCCAGCTAAAAATCATTCTCAGATTTCAGACAGATGCTAAGACGGGTTCCTGCCCTGAATTCACGGTGGAGTTAGGGGGACAGATATACAAATGTTCATTCCACACATTCCTGTAGGGTGCCCCTCCAGCCCACACAGGGTTATTGCTGCTGGGTGTTGGTGAAACAGAGAAGGGTATCACCATCTTGGATTCTGGCTTGGGAAGAAACAGGCCATGGACAAAAATACCCATAAATAAGCACAATCCTTTCAAGTAGTGAAGTGCACAGAAGAAATAAGAAAATGCTAAATTGCATTGCTTCTGACCACCGCAGGAGTTCAATTAAGGGAGACAAAGGATGTGAGAATGAGGAGATAAACTGCATAAACCAAGAAACAGAGACATGTTGGGCATAAAGGTGCATGCGGATAATCCCAGCACTCCAGGAAGCTGAGACAAAGGGATCCCAAGTTTAAGAATAGCATGGGCAACTCAGCCACTTAGCAAGAATCTGTTTCAAAATTAAAAAAAAAAAAAATTGTAAGGGTTCAGTGTCAAGGCCCTGGCTTCAATTCCCAGTACTGAGAAAGGAGAGAAGGAAGGAAGGAAGGAAGGAAGGAAGGAAGGAAGGAAGGAAGAAAGGAAGGAAGGAAGGGAAGGAGGGGAGGAGGAGAGGAAGGGGAGGAAAGGGGAAGGGTGGCGAGGGAGAAAGGAAAAAGAGCAAGAGAAAAGAAGGAAGAAAAGGAGACAAAAATAAGCAAGGCATGTGCAGAGCCGTTCAGATGGTGATTATTGGTGTGTGTCTAGTGGAACATGATGAAGGAATACGTGACCGACAGGGATAACTGCACTCAGATGGTACACAACAATTCAGGTCACACTAAACATCAGCCCCTGCATTATATTAACGTTGCTTAGTTGGAAGATTTGGGGGATCTTTTAGTCTCGGTCATATTTAATTTTCAAGTTGGTTTGGGTTTTTGGTGGTACAGGGTATAAATTCAACAGTTTAATTCTGCGTTCATGCACGTGTAAAGTAACATTTAAATAAAAATAACCTAGGTCAACGTGTGAGGTTATCAAGAATGTTCTTCCTTTAATAGGAAAGCATGTAACACTCAATTTGAAGAATATTGCTCTATGGCCCTTTTTATATTCTCCTTTATCTCTGGGGACACATGGCGTCATGTCACTGGAGGGCAACATCAAACAGTGCAGAATGCACCTGCGAAGTAGGATATCACAGTGATGGTGAGGAATCCCCCAACTCATGGGGTTTGGTGAATGGGTGGAACAAGAGGGCCAACTCTTTTATGAATGTTTCTTTTTTGAGACCTGGAGACATCAAACTGTTTGCTCTCTTACCATTTATCCACTTCAAAAGATGACCAAAAACTCATCACTGCATGTTCCCTCAGTCTTTGGTCTCTTCATTATCTGGCTTGGACCACAGATAAAGGTGACAGATGCTTCTCTTAAAGATGGCACCAGTGAATTCTGTTGCCCAACCACAATACAGCAAGTGCTTTCCATAGAAACTCTTGCTTACTTTATCACGGAAGTGCTTGGTTACTTTATCAAATTGACACCAGAATTACAGATTTCTTGGGAATTCACCTTCAACAAAAACAGTCATAAATCCCTATGTAGGACCTAACTGTCACCCCAGGGCCTTTTATCTATAAAATATGGATAATAAAGCTATCTATCTCTCAGAGCATGAGAGTCAAATGAATGAAGCCAGAAGAAGAGCTGCATGCTGTGCTGCTATAAATTAAGTAATATGATCTAATGTTTCACTTAAAAACTTAATAGGAAGCCAGGGGTGGTGGTGCAAGCCTGTAATCTCAGCACCCAGGAGGCTGAGCCAGGAGGATCACTGTGAGTTCAAGACCAGCCTGGGCTACAAAGTGAGCTCAAGGCCAGCCTGAACTGTATAGCAAGACCCTGTCACAAAAAGACACACACACACAAAAAAAAACTTAGTAAGAAAAAGTTGCAATTACACTTGTGCTCTACTGCAAAATAATAATGGATACAGAGCTTCACTAAACAAGATGGTAGGAGTTTTGTTTTTTTTTACTGTCTTTAAAATAAAAAAAAGAAATAATAATAATAATAATAATAATGGAAAGCTACACTGACAGTCAGATAGGCCTAGGAGAATTTAAAAGGGAAACCACATTGGGCATTTTAATTCCTCTCCCCTAGAGTTTTCATACATGTTTAATATCTGGATAAAGAGAGATCTTGTCCCTCTGACATTTCGCAAGTATGCAAGAATACCAAGGGGAAAATGTGGAATGCAGTCTATAAGCCTCCGTAATCCCACAGAATTAGGAGGAGTTTCAAAACATGTCCAGAATTTCCTGATAGGTCTTTTGAAATACTGACCCAGGGCTTCTTACTTTTCCTGTGGCAGACACGAGACCCCTAAGAATCAAAGGTAGTTTTAAAGAAAGAGTGTGATTACAGACAGGGAAGAGGGAGAGTGCCGGGCAAATACTATTACCATTTTTCAAGTAACAAGAAATCCGGGTGAGTTCCTATTGGGTGGAGACAAACTCAGGACACTGCCCACTGTGGAATATACTGGTGTCAAAAGAAAGAATGACACAGACAGGCAGCTGAAAGCAGGAAAAGTCCCAGGAAGTGTAAATGTGGAATCTTAAGTCAAAAGCCAAATGGTGGTCCTGACATTTAGTTTGATACACAAAAATATTCCCCGGAGGAAAAGCCAGGGTCCCACCTGCCATCCCAGAGAGAAAAGAACACACAGTCACTGCTCCCTAGAAGTCACCAGAAACGACCAAGGTTCAACAGACAAAGCAAGTGACAAGTGCCTGTCCCCATGGGGCACATGGATGGGAGCCTCAGAAACCCCTCGTTTATGCCTACGGGCAGCTGAGACATCTTTGAAGTCATACCTTGCTTCTGCATGATTCTTTAAGAAAGACACTGCCTTGGAAAAATAAAAATAACTCTCCATCTGAAAGCAGTATCCTTCCATCTCTCAGCGTCAACTTTCAGTAATACAACTTTCAATTTAAAGTCCTGAAAGTAGAATAGGAACAGATCCGTTCTTTTAGAGACTCTCAATCTTTAAGCTGACTCCACTGAATGGTCTGTGTGTGTGTGGCAAGAAATTATTTTCTCGTGGCCTTTAAGACGTTTGTCTCTTTTCTTTTCCTCTTGCCCTCTTCCATTTGCAATGCACATGCTGGCTCCAAAAAGAAAAAGGTATTGGATTTTATAGCCTAAAAATATCAGAAACTAAAAGAAACTTCTTTTTAAAAGTCAAAGCACTGAACTTTCCAAAAGGAACATTTGTCTCCTCTTTCTACTTCCCTGCCAGTCTTCATATTGAGAGGTCGTGAGTGAAGGAAAAGTTCCTCTGTGCCTGATCCCTGACAGTAGCTCATGACATCTGGTAGTATTTTTACAAAACACTGGGTCTGAGGCATGGAACAAATTCTCCTACTTCCCCTCCTGAACACCTAGTTCTATATGGCGATGAGAGAACTGGAAACAAGATGGTGTCTCCTGGCCAACTTGTCTACCCAAAGACGCTGCAGACCGACAGATATTTCTCTCATTAAGTGAACACAGACGCAGTGACCTAGGGAAATGGCCTGGATGTGCTGTGTGTGTCTCTCCACTAGACACCCAATCTTCACGCAGATGCTTCACCTATCCTGCAAGCCCCATGAGAGCGAAGAACAGATCTGATGGAAAAAATATTACATTCTCCATCCTTTGGAGACAGAACTTTTCATGCCCATTTTCCTTACTCTTAGGGACTCACTGAAACTCTCCAAAGAGCACTGTAAGATTCTGAAAATAAAGTTAATTTTGATTCTTTTCCATTTAAAAAGTACATCTGCAGTAAGGTTTTGCTTTGTTTTTTTTTTTTTAAATTAGCATACATGCCATTCTGGAGAAAAGCAACCTGGCAATAAGAAAAGTTGGATGCACAAGGATAAACGTTTTGGTTTTATACCTGAAACGGCATTCACTTGAGATGTATATACATATATCTCAGGCATCTGAGGCAAAAAAAAAAAAAAGTGAATGGTTTTAAGAATATTTTTATGGTCCTGAAAATAACAGAAAATCTCTAAGAAAGAGACATTTCCATTTGCATCGTTAATTCCCGCCTCACAGGAGGAGCATCAGGAACCCCACATGTAGAGAAGAGCTTGTAAGGTCTCCACGCCTGACGGGCTAGTTTTCTTCTTCAGTCAGGCTCAGAAGTCTCAGAGCAAGTCCCTATTAAGCCACCCCCTCTGGAGAAGGGGGTCTGCTTGTGATTTTGGAAGTGAACTTTTTATTCTGGGGCTGTTTCAGAGCAATAAAAGAAGAAGACATTTTATAATAAGTGTGTCTAACCCAGGAAGAAAATTGGTTCCATTTTCACTCTCATCTTAAGCAGCTTTTAAAATTAAATTCTCTTTGGGCTTTCCATTTCCAATTCTACCAGCAATGCCACAGGCACCAAACAGAAACATAACCTGTATCTCAGACACAATACCCTAAAGCAGTGGAAAATAATTTCCTTAAGAAGGCTATGAGGTTTCATGTTTTTGTCAAGATTAAGAACAATGATAATCAGATGTTCCACACTCCCTGGCCTTTGCACAAGCTCTGCCCTCTGCCTGGAAAGCTTCCCACCCCTTCTCTATCTGACCAAGTCCACGCACCCCTGGGGAACAGATTAAATTTCCTCCCCTACTCTCATAACCTGTGTCTTTGCCTCTTCAGCTCCACCCAACTCAATGTATTTGTTCACAGTTAAACTTGTAGGTGAGCAGACATCTTTGCTCAGCCTGTGCTATGGTTTGGTAAGTGTCCCCTACAGGTTCACATGCCAGGCTTGGTTGCTTGTAGGGGGAACTTTGTGGAGCTGGGACCGAGGGGAAGATCTATAGGTCATCGGGAGCATGACCTTAAAGGGGCTTGTGGGGCCCCAGTCCTTCCTTCTTTTTCACTTTACTCCCTCGCTTGTAATATGAGCAGTTTTACTCTGCCACACGGTCCCACCATGATGGGCTGCATCAGCACAAGTCTGAAGCACAGCGGCTGGCTGATCCATCACGGTAAGCTAAAATAAGTCACCTAACCCATTTATGTCAGGTGTTTATTTGTAGTGATGAAAAGCTGATTAACACAGGCCACTGTAACAAAGTGCCAAAGACTGAACAGCTCAAACCACAGACTATTCTTAAGAGTTCAGGAGGATGGAAGTCCAAAGTTAGGGTGCCAGCATGGTTGTGTTCCAGTAAGAACCCTCTTCACGGGCTGGGGTTGTAACTCAGCAGTACAGGGCGTGCCTGGCAAGCACAAGGACCTGAGTTCTATTCCCAATACCAAAAAAAAAAAAAAGAACCCTCTTCATAGTACATGGAGGATCACTTTCTTGCTGTACCCTCACTCGGCACAGAGTACAAGTGTGGCACTAATCCCATCATGGGGCCCCACTCTCATGACCTCATCTAAATCTAATTAATGCCTAGAGGCCCTATCTCCAAATTCCATCACAGTGGGGATTAGGGGTACAATATCTGAATTACAGATTGGGAACACACTCAGTCCATAGTACTAATCAAGTGTGTTACAGTACAAAAAAAATGTTTTAATGATTCCATTTCCTGGCCTTACCCCCATAAAGAGTGAGGTCTTTCCTCCTGACTCAAAGGTTGGCCATCCAGCTGGCTCTGCCCAAGGAGCGATTAACAAATGTGACACGGATGCACCTGAAAGTCTTGTGCACTGGAGTTTACTCTCTTTCTCCAGGGACTTTTCCATCACCGTCTGAATGGATTTCTACATATTTTGTGCTTTTCTTGTGTCTCTTTCCCAGTGAACTCCGGAGCTGAGCCACCATCTGAAAGACCTGTGTCCACATGGCATTTTCTCGGTTATTAAAGGCTTTTGCATTCATTACTTTCTCTCACCAGGACTAAGAACATGGCCTCACTGGAGCTTTGAAGAGCACCAGCAGCTGTGTATCACCTTCTAGGGGGAAACATACAAATAAGTGGGGGTTAGAAAAGTGCAGCTGCCTCCAGTGTAACCCAGCTGCCTCCAGTGTAACCCAGCCATGCCAGGAACCAGGACGGAGCAGGTAAGAGAGACGACAGCACCTGTAGGGTCCAGAAATCCTGGTCTGGCATCTTCTCCATCTCTCCTTTCTGATGCCTCCTGCCATTCTTCCTAGGTGTATTTCTTCTTCTTCTTCTTCTTTTTTTTTTTTTTTTGGTGCTGGGAATCAAACTCATAACCTCATGCTTTCTAGGCAGGTGCTGTGCCACTGAACTATATCCCCAGCCCCAATCTCGCTAGGTGTAGTCATTGCTTCTGCTTAACAGATAGAGACAAAGCAGACGGCAACAGACCAAGTGGATGGGAAAGAGCCCTCACAGAGGCACAGGGAACTTGACTTTAGTCATGGGGCCTAAAACTGAGAAACAGGGAATATGAATTCTTGCCTCAAGCCAAGTGATGTAGCAGAAAGAGCAAGAACAAAGTCCAGCCTTTTCCCAAGCTCTGCTTCTCATCTCCACGTGCTGTCTCTCCAGACGGGAAACTGATTCGCTTCCACGTCACAGTGAGCAGTACGGGACAGAAATCCCATCCTGGGGCTAAAGAACGCTGTGGCCCTTGTGAGGAGACACAGCCTAGATGTCCTCGTGCAGCTCCAACAACCCCTGCAGCTGCCTCCTCCTACTAGAATTCTAGATTGGGAGGAGACTCTTGCTTCACCTGACATGGCCCGGAAAAGGTCCCTGTCCCCAGGCTGAGCCTCATCACTATGACAACTGGGGACAACACAGTATTTTTCATCCGCATGAGAGCAGGACCTCAGGGGCAAACTGTCACCTGCTTCTCAACTTGCAAACCTCTCTTTCCCTTTGGTCATCAGTGTCTCTTATCTTCTATGTCGCGGTGGTCACATAACACCCTTGGAGGATCTCTTGATCTCTCATGCTCCCTATTTATTTATGCACAAATTCTCCTTTCATAGTTTTCCATTTAACACAAACACGTTCCCCAACTTTTCCAAGATGGCCCTTTCCCACTGGGAAGAGAGAGGGTGAAGGGATTTACAAACAGGAAAATGACAGACTGTGACAGGTGCCGAAGAGGCAGTGAAAAGGCAAAGCCAGCACAGGGGGACGCAGAGCCTCTGCAGTGGCACCACTGGGTTTCCGCAGGAAGGTGGGAATTGGGGCGGGGGGCATTTGAAGAGCACGGAATGGCATTTGGGAAAAAGGAAATGGCAGGTGGACAACCCGAGCTGGGAAAGGTGAAGAGGGGCCGGTGTATCTGAAGAATCAAGGCCAGAAGATGTGGTGAGGTACAGAGAAGCAGGCAGTGAGTGGAGGTAGGATGAGCTCCACACGGACGTACAGAAGCCGATGGGAGGATCTTAAGAGGGGATCTGTGCGGGTCCTGTATCCACAATGTGAGGTCTGTGAGGCCAGGACTTGGCTTGCTTCTCTTCCCAGTACCTGGATGAATCCAGGATAAAGGCCATTCGGACCGTTTATGCAGAAAAGATTGACAGTGATGCACAAGAGAGAAGAAAAGCCGGGCTCCGAAGAATCACTGATGATCTGTTGTTCCAGAGCCTATCCTAAATATACTCTCATCAAACCTGGAAGAACCATTTCATAAGGAAGGAGCAGCGGAGACAGCAGGAGAGAACACGGACTTTTATAAGCTCAACAACTCACATGGACCAGACATCGATTTTGGGGCCGTATTTCTTCCTGGCGAGCAGTTCAGGCGCGGCATAGGCGGGGCTGCCACACTGTGTGCTGAACGGGTCTGAGTAACCCAGGATCCCCGCACAGTTGCTGAGGCCAAAGTCTGCAAAGAGAAGAGGACAATTGGTCTCCAAATTACAAAACTCTATGAATTGCAGAAATGAAGAGGGACAGGAAAGGGGGTGGGGTGCAACAGGAAAGGAAACATTCTCTCAGGCTAACACATAATTTAGCATCCAAAAGGAAATCCAGCCGCTGCAAACCATAACCTCTGGACAGGAGTCTCAAGACAAAAGAATGTCAGGTGGTGGTTCCCTTGCTTAACTGGAACATTTTACCTCAGTCCTCACTGTAAAATCCAGCTAGAGCTAACAGCATGTTGAACCAAAACATATTTCCGTCAAATCTTGTAAGTGAGTCGTCCAGGGAAAGGAGCGGCCGTGCTTTCGAGGACTAAGGCAGGAAGAGAGCACAGGCAGACAGGCTTGGAGTCAGCAGTCTGGCTTCCCAGAGGGGAGAAGTTGGAAGACCGAGCTTTCTCTGGCTGGATGCTGGTGTCACTCTCCGTGACACGCGATCCAGCCATTTACAGCTGACTTCTATAGCTGAGTGTTTGCGTTTCATAAAAAATCTTTTTTTTTTTAAAATTCTTCCCATCTGTATGCAGCACATATGGAAACTTGAAGAGGGGAAAAAATATACTCAACAGTTTAGGCAACCCTGCAAGTTGGCTGGAAAAGTAATGCCGAGAGGCTGGCGAGGCCAACCAGACACGGTGACCTCATGGCGTTGCTTTGTTCCTGGAACATGAAGGCGCTGGGGAGAAAAGCCCAATGATCTACAGCTACGCTGGATCTATTATGCCTTTCCGGCAGTGTTTACTTTTGATCTTAAAGATACTGCAGCTGCCGGGCAATTAGAGAGCTGTTAGTGTTATGCCCTCCCGGTATCTTCCCTCCATCTTTGTTAATCTCAGAATTAAGATCACAGCTCATCCTTTGAACTTCAGTGTAAATATTATGATTCTACCCCCCAGATAGAAGACTCTCAGGCTACAGGGCTTGGGTAGAGAGACTGGCTCCAAGTCTGGAACAAAACCCTGGTACTTATTCAACAGGCACTATTTATGTCTACTTTCATTACTTTCTCGCTTCGCACTAACGTGTCTCCACCTGCAAAGCTGCAGGGACGTTCAGTAGGGAGAGAGCCAGAATCCATGAAGTTACCCACACCCGATGGCGCAAAAGGACACAACTGACAAGTTTCCCAACAGTCTCTGGATTAGGCTATGCAGGGAAACAGCTTTTCTACAGAGAACCCTACCGGAGGAGAAGTCTAAAATCTCTTTCAACTCTGAAGACCACCCAAACCCTTCAGCTCAGACTCTGGGTAAAGAGTCAGAACGTACAGTACAGACTGGCTGACCAACCAACCAGGAAAGCTGCACGTTTGAACACTTAACTTATGTTTTCTTTCGTTTTGACAGTTTCCTTTTCCCTCTCATCCTGCCACCTCTGCCTGTCTTCCATTACTCCGTTTCTCTCTCCATCCCTACCCTCAGTCTCTTCCCATTTCTTTTCCTTTCACAGCAGACCCTGTAGACCCTGCAGAGAAGTCCTGTGGGAGTCCCGGAAGGTCTCTGGGCCCCATCATAGGAGGAGTTACTCGTCATAGAGGACCCGAGGGACTCCATCCTCAAGCTCCAGCATCTTAGATGCAGGATCATGGCGGGCAATGGAGGTCTGTTTCATTGCTAAGAGCACCTGCTATGGGAAACTAGAAAGACAGCATCACAGCACGAAGATGACAGTACAGTATTATGGGTAGTGACATTTTTAAAGGAAAGCTTCATGGACTGCTATCCCAGAGGCCTAGTCTCAGGGGCTGGGGATTTAGCTCAGCGGCACAGCACCTGCCTGACAAGAGCGAGGTCATGAGTTCGATTCCCGGTACCGGAAAGAAAACAAAAACAAACAAACAAAAAAATCCAGAGGCCTCGTCTCACAGGAGTCCCACAAAATCTACCTCTACATTTCTAAGATAAAAGCCAAAGACTTCAATCCTCCTGCCAGCAGGACTCCAGAACAGCAAAAGGGCATCATATTCAATTCCCTTCTTCGACTCCCCTGATCTGGATCTCTCAAGAAAGGCAGGGAAAGGAGAAATAAGAGATCAGATCACCCTCCATTGTCCCTGGAAAGTTAGAGAACAGACTCTGGCCTTATCTTAAACCCAGTTTAAAGAAGATAAATTAACAGTGGATCTGGGGAGAGGTGGGAATACAGTCTACATTTTAAATGACATATGTGGACCTAGCTGAAAAGATTTGATTTAAAATGCACTGTGAAAAAATAACCAGCATGTTTCACATTTGTAATTGTAATTATTAAAATTTTACACATATGCCTATAATTAGAATTGTGAAACTAGAGAGAACTTTGCCTCCCAGTAATGTCACATAGGTCTGCCTCAATTAGATTTGGTAAATACATAAGCTAATTATCACTCAGTTTTTCTGAGAGCTGCAAAATGAATCTCAAAAGAACACCCAAGTGCATACTGCTTTGGAACATGGACAAAATTGTTCTAAGCTGTGGCTCTTCCATTTAAAGATCATACTAAACTTACCAAACATCAGATTGCTTTTTTTGAAGAGGGAAAAACATCCTGACTGAATCAAATCTTACTCCTAGTAATTCTAGTGAATTTGAAATGTGGCTTAAGCAGATTTATTTAGACCAAATTCTTTCAAAGAAAGAGAAACTATTAAGAGGAAATGATAATAGCTATAATCACCTTTGAAAAACAACTAGGTAATTCCTTTGAAGAAAAAGAGGTACAAAGCCCTTTCAAGTTACAAAAAGACTGGGAATGCAGACCTTTGATCCATATTACCCAACCCAATGTAAGAAAACACACAAGCCATTTAGTCTCCTTCCCTAGAAATTGAAGAAATGGAGATTTTGCTAAACAAATGTAATTCCCAGTTGCCTCCCAGGGTGGCCTAACATCCATTTACAGGTGCCAGCTCAGGCTCCTTAGCTTTAGCTGGTCATGAGAAAAACGGGAGCTAATGAAAGAATTCTAAATGGTGGGAAATCCCACCATTAGAGCCTTCATTCTAGCAATTTTGAGAATCCTGGATCCTAACACCTAAGTCATTTGCCAATAAACTAGGCCTATTTTGTCCTGTTAAATTAAGTTTGGCCTAAAGCTGCCTCTGTACATATCTTAAGTTTGGCCTGAACACTCCATCATACATGGTGGTTGTAACCTAACCTGATGTGTAAACAGAGTGCAACCTACTATTATAACAAAGACCTGAATCTCAGCCAATCACAAGCGGTCACCTGTTCAAACCTTATGTGTGTAAGCTAGTTTTGAGTTGGAACCAATTAGGCTCACTATAACTTGTTTCTGTATGTCACATTCTTTTCTCTAGGTATACATACAATCTACCCATATGGTGGGCAAGGCATCTGAACCATTGTTCAGGACTTCTGTCTACTTCTAGGAGCTCAAAGCCAAATAAGGTTTGCAAAATTATATGTGTTGTAATTTCATCTTTTACAGTGCAATATCTATTTAAGTGCCAATGCACAGGGTGCCAGCTGAGAGGTGATGACTGAGGGATTTGAAGAACAAAGTTCCTGACTGCCAAAAAGCAACTGCCAAATTCACTACAAGGTGAACTACAGCTCTACTTTCGGCATATCATTTCTCCATAGTACTTGCACAACATCTCCTCTAAGAGGTTTTATTATTCAGCCTATATGTGAGCTACTTATAAATGCATCTGCTGTTTACAGTGACTCGTTCTTCCAGAATCTTCTGAGGAAACTTCTAATCATTGAAAAAGTTTGTGCTGGGCTGGGGATAGAGCTCAATGGCACAGCGCCTGCCTGGTAAGTGCAAGGTCATGAGTTTGATTCCTGGTACCAAAAAAAAAAAAGAAGAAGAAGAAAAAAGTTTGTGCTTTTCAATATTAGTTACTTCACAGGACAGTTTAATAATGGTCATATAGGCCTAGTGCTCGAGCGGAAAGAACAGCAAGGCAGACAAGTGAGGCACAAGCGAAGGATATAAACAGTAAGGCCAGTGCTTGCTGAAATCCGGAAACTACCCTGGGCGCACTGCTCTCTGCTTGACCTACTAGCTTTACCTACATGACACACAGTAGAAGTGAATTACTCTTTGACTATACTGTAAACCTGGCCCTTATCAAGCCTGTTTTCATATAATCTGTACTGTTAGGACAACTCTATCACAGTCACTTGCACATTTCCCAAAGATAAACTACAGTTTACCCGGGCAGGAAATCTTTAAAAAAATCTCCTTTCTTCCATTCCTCACTCCCCATCAGGAGATTCCTTAGCTTAAGGCCCAAGGTCAGACAGCACCTTGGTTCACAGGTTTCCGTACCTGGTCCTCCAGGCAACTACAGCACAATAGTAAAACAACATGACCAAAAGAAGACCCTTTGAATGGTCTAAGACTCTGCCAAGAACAGATTCTTTAAAATGCTTTGGGGGAAAAATTAGTTTCCTCTTAAATGCTAATCTTCTAATGATGGGTATATCCATCACCACAGAGCAGTGCTGCTTGGCCCCCTAGCACAAGGCCTGGAGACCCTATTCTTTCGTACTTATGCCTGGCGTGTGTTGGACACCGGCTATGATTCCAAGGTACCTAGTAAGTCATCTGAATGATATGTTTTGGGGAGACTATTTTTAAGAGATATGTTTTGAGATGATTTGCAACAGTTGCTTAGCAAAAGCTCCTTCCTGGGTACAAGAGTTAAATTACCAAAGTCCTGTTGGTCCTTCTCTTCTCCACTAAAATAAGGCCTTTCTAAGCCATTGAGGTAGAAGAAATTACTCATAGTTGGTGTGAGAAAATAGAGAAAAGAGAAGAACAAAAGATAGTACAGGCGGCTGGGGATTTAGCTCAGCAGCACAGTGCCTGCCTGGCATGCGCAAGGTCCTGAGTTTGATTCCTGGTACCAGAAAAAAACAAAAACAAAAAAACAAAAAAACCAAGATAGTACAGTTTAATATCAAGGCATAAAAACAATGACCAAGAGCAACTATAGGGCTGGGGATTTAGCTCAGTGGTGTAGCACCTGCCTGGCAAGCATGGGATCCTGAGTTGCATTCCTGGTACAAAAAAAAAAAAAAGCCACTATAGAGGCAAAACAAAACTAACAAAAACAGCTGAATTCTTTCAGAGAATAAGCCACAAAATGAGTTCACTTATGGGTTCTGAATTATGAACCAATGATGAATTACACCACCCTGGGTGGAGCCTCCTTCCAACTGGTACAGATTCTAATGACCCCTCTGTGGGTAGCCACTATCACACTATGGGATGAGGATGAAGATCATATTGATTGTATTCCTTATTTGGGGCATCCAGAAATTCACTAAAAAGTGGAATAAAACATACAGAACTTATAGGCAGTAGTTCTGAACCAAATTTATTTTCCACTATTTTTAAGCAATGATTCTGTTAATCTGACTAAAAATCGCCTCCATGTTAATTTAAATAATCCAGAGAAACACGTTACCAACAAATACTTATTGATTGATTGCCCAGTCAAGTTACAGTATTTTCCCTGCCCTAATTATGTTTAGATTATTATTTAAGTAAGCTATTAAATTACTGCTAAAATTAACTTTCATTTTCAAAATTATTATTGAACATTAGACACAAAAGAAGGTAACCCAGAAGTTTGATTTGACATAGAGCAGGGATAATTTTCAAGATTGAGAACCGACAACACAACATTTAAAAGATAATCTTGCTTAAAAAAAAAAAGAAGGTCATACCAATCAGCTTGATATTATTGTCTTCATCTAGTAGCAGATTTTCTATCTTCAAGTCTCTGAAATAAAACCACACAACATTTCAGATAAGCATTTGAAAGAGCAGCATGACACCTTGTTTCTGACGGGAAATAAACTGTTTTAGAGCCACTTTCCACCAACTCCTAAAGCTTTTTTGCTAAAACTCACTCAATCATTAAGTAAATATTTATAAGACACGATGCAATTACTTGCCACCAATGAAGGTGACAAAGGATTTCAGAGAAGGCAGAGAGCAAAGACTGCAAAAGAAATCATGAAAAGTTTGCAGCGGTGGGACCCACACTGAAACCTGAAGGTTAAAGAGCAGAGGGTTAGAAGAAGGCAGAACACACCACTGAAGACAGAGGCTGCTTCGGCAGGCAAGGAATACAAATGTGGCCAAAGGCCTATGACCCTGTGAGAAACATCAGCCAGTCAGGAGCAGATCTGGGGAAGCAATTCAAAACACTGGAAGTTAATTTCAGTTCTTGACCTCCATGTTGGAGCCCGAGTGTCTGCTGGTGATGATATACTATTAATTTACTGAGCAAGTAGATAATACCATGGGCATAATAATAGATTCCAGAGGTCAGAGTCATAATCTTTGGTGTTATGTCCAAGTATATGTTAGCCTGACGTGGTCAAAGGAAATTGAGTTTACAGATAAAATGCAGACTGTTAATCAGATGATGGGTGGTTACATCAATTGACACGGAAGTGACAGAGGGCAATGGAAAAGAGCGAAGCAGGGTCACAGTGAGTGCAAGGTGGCTGACGCACCTGTTAGTCAACTGTAAGCCCCTTGAGGGGAGGGAACATGTCTGTCTTGTTTACCACTGCACTCTACATGCCAGAAACTCAGTAAATAAAAATAAATCTAGATTACCAGAGAGATTTTGAATTTTGAATTTCAGAGGTGAAGTATATATCTGGGCAAAAGTACATATGTGGGCAAAAGAATATATTTGGTCATCAAAGTCATCTAGGTCAACAATAGTTATAAAATCTGGCCTCCTAAATTGTAGCCTGTCAACGCAGACGCACCTTGAATAGTAATTATGAAAGAATATTTTTTCTTCTGTTAAAAAAATATATATAATTTTAAAATCTCTTCCATTGTTTTGAAACACTCCTTTCTTGGTCCAGCTTTTATTTTCCTACATTTGAATACAGAGATGGGCAAAAGATACTTTTCTTTTTCTTCTTGTCTCCATTGTAAGGTACTGAGTAGCATAATTGTGATAAAACAAACAAAAATGGCATTGATATACCATATCAATGTCCAGAAACCACAGGCAACTGCTGTTGCCGGGACTGTCTGTGGTAAATAGGACAGCAGCGCCCCATTTAACAGGGACAGTTGCTTCAAAGCTTGGTCCCAGTACTGCCAGCCCATCCTGTTTCACAAGAGAAGCCAGAAATCTGGATTTGGTCTCAATTTTTAAATGTTGGCAGCAAATGCACATTTAAAACAATAACAACACTATGTGGGCCAACCTCCCAGGCAAGATGTGGCCTGCCAAGTACCAGTTTTCAACCTCAGTATAGGTAGAAGATGAGGCTTAGAGAGGACACGAGATTAGCCAGGGAGAAGGTAGAGAATATGAGAAAAAAGACCAAAGGCAATATGCAGCTGGGAAAGGACCACTCACAGAGGGCTGAAAAGGAACCAGCGGGGGCAGGGGAAACCAGGGAGGCTATTCTCATGTGAACAACTCAGGGTGAGATTTCCAGGCAGGAAGAAGAATTGAGCAGTCAAATGGTAAGCTCTACAAAGGATCCAATGGATTCCAAAAAGGAGGACTGCTGGTAGCCTCTGGACTACACACTCGGATATAAAAGATCTGTGTTAAAATGTGCAGTTAGGAAAGGGAAGTAGATGTTCCCCATCTAATGCTCTCATAATCATACAAATGAAACAAAAATGTCTGCTTTTAAAAGGTATCACATATGTCCAATATAAAGTGACCCCAAAGATAAGGTGGCCCCTACCTCTTATTCCAATAGGAAGACCTTGCCCCTTAGAAAAGAGGTTTTGGAAAACACAGATATGTAATATTTAGAAATGCAATGGAATTATCAAGTGACTATTGCTTATCTGTGAAGCGGCATCACCGTCCTATTTAAGGTCATATACTAAAACGTTAGCACAGTTCATTTTAGAAATGTTGTTTCCATGCCCTCATATTTCATGAAACAATTTTATTCAAATGTGTTAAGGCAGAAGCAAGATGGCTCTTTGAGTACAATGTTTCCAGAGGGACATGATCTGTCCATTGGGCTGTGATGGTTGTGATGAGTACTTTTTGAATCTTCGTACGATATGCTCTTGCTAGAAATCTTATCCCAAACCATAAGCACCCATTTAAAATCTCTGTAAATTACCCCTTAGTGAATTGTTTCCAGTCTCTTGAGTTGTTGCAACTCTGAGGCCATCCAGAGTTGTGACTAAAGCCATCTAAAGTGGCTTTGCTTCCCTTTCGACCAGATTCTAGACATTTGGAGGTGACTAAAGTACCCAAAGTGACCGGTGAGTCAAGTCAAGGTTAATGTGTGTGCTGTTAATCTTCACTGTCAACTTTGTTGGATTAAGAGATTCCTGGAGAGGTGACTGGATTGTGAAGTCACCAAGTTGGTCATGGATTAACAGATTAGTGAGTTCATAGCTGCATGCGCTCTTAGGAGGCAGGGCTTAGTTAGAGGAAGCGGGTCATGTGGGTTTGACCCTAAGGACCATATCCAGTCCCTGGTCCCCTCTTAGGGCTCTTCTCCTGCTGTGTGCTTCTCAGGTACCATGCATGAAGCCACTTTCCCCCACCAAACCCTTTCACCACATTTCTGCCTTGGAATCAACCAAACACTGGTTGAAACCACAAGTCAAAATAAACCCTTACCTGTTTCAGTTGTGTATATCAGATATTTTGTCCAGCAACAAAAAGCTGACCAACACAATGAGAATGTGTCTTCTCCAACTAATATTTTGTGGTTGAAAATAAAGCAATTGAAATGGTGCCTCCATGGTATGAAAGATTTGTGAGGACTCTTTAAGGCATTCTTCTTCTCTGAAGATAATTAAGACACCATATAAACCTGACTTCTATTCAAATGTACCGCAGAAGTTCAAAATACGTATATACACACACACACACCACTGCCAGCAACAGCCCAATTGCGATTCTGTGAAAACTGATTAGATAGCAGTAGCACTATTTAAATCTAACACAAGGCCGCAGTTTGTTTCAAGTGAAATTAAGCCTCTTTGCCTGGGAAGAATGGAAGTCACACTAAGTCATTAAAGAGAAATTTGGTTCAGAACAATTATTATTGAGAAAAACAGATTAAAGAGGCATGGTAAAATAAAGCAATTGCCAAGAATAATAAAACTAAAGTATGCAATTCTGGGGCCATAAAGGCGTAGCGAACAACTAAAATGATTAGGAAAATGATATAAATGAAAGAGTAAAAATAAGAGAAAATGCAACGGAAAAAAAAAAAAAACACTTTTAAAATCAGAGAAATGTCATAAAACCAGGAGAGGAAGTGTAAAATTATAATAATCATGAAAAATGAGAAAAATAAATTTGAAGGTGCTATCTTCCAACCCATTGTATCCCAAAGCAAGCAACTCCCAACACTTAGGAAAAATGGATAGAACACCCTTGGTTAATGGAGGGTATTTGCCTTTTGTCCAGGACTTCGAAAGATTCCAGCGATAACAATCTGACTGTCTTAAGGCTCCATGACGAATTAACAGAAAGGTGCGCTACATTAGTCCCTGTCCATGTGATCAGAATATTTTACACTGCCAAATGAAAGAGCCATTCAATCTCTTTTGGCTTTATTTATTGCTACTTCCTGTTTGTCTTTTCAAGTATATCTGAAAGAAGGGCAGGACTGTTTTCCTTCTTTCTCTTTAGGGAAAAAGTCTCTAAAGTCAAATTTTGTTTTGGTTTGGGTTTTTGGAGACACTCTCACTACGTAGTTCACGCTGGCCTCAAACTCATGGCAACCTTGCCTTAGCCTCTCGAGGGCTGGCCTGACAGGTCTCTGTCACCACACCCAGCTTAAAGTCACTTTCATTAAGTACAGTCAGCCCTCTATGTCTGTGGGCTCTGCACCCTCAAATTCAACCAACCTCAGATCAAAAATTTTCATGGGGAAATTTTTCATCTGTACTAAACGTTTTTCTTTGTACCACACAACAAGTATTTCATAGCACTTGCGGTGGGTTAGGTATGGTAAGTAACCTAGAGGTGATTTAAAGTGTGCAAAAGCATTTGGATAGGATCTGCACCACTTTATATAACAGACACCTGTGGGTGGTGTCCAGAGGGGTCCTGGAACTAATTCTTTGCAGATCCTGAGGGAAGACAGTATTTACCCAAATGAGTGGAAAACTTGCGGACAAAAATGGTTATAGAAGCTTTATGCATACTTTCCCCTAACTGGAAGCACCCAACATGTCCCTGAGTACATGAATGGAGAAACACACTGTGTTATCCTGCAACATTCAGCAATAAAAAGAAAGGAGGGGCTGGGGATTTAGCTCAGCGGCAAAAGCGCCTGCCTGGCAAGCGCAAGGTCGTGAGTTCGGTTCCCGGTACCGGAGAAAAACCAAAACCAAAAAAAAAAAAAAAAACTAAAGGAGAAGAAAGAAACAG